TCTTTCTTTCTTTCTTTCTTTCTTTCTTTCTTTCTTTCTTTCTTTCTAATATAATAAAACCATCAGCAGGGAAGAAACAATGGTCATTTCTGCAGTGCTGGGAATTGAACCTGTGTCAGGTACATGCAAGGCAAGTCCCTACCAGTGAATTTCAGCCTTTCTTTTCCTTATTAATACTGTTCTTTACTCCTCATGAGTGTATAGCATTGTTGTTGTTGTTGTTTTTTTTTTTAATGAAGTGTGAAATACATAATTAATATAGAAACTTACTTGGCAGTTTGGACATCTGCAGGGGAAACGCTTCCTTGAGCAATCGCTTTTACTTGGTTGTAAGCAGCCTTGATAACCTAGGGCATGCAAGTAAAAAACTGGTCATCAGTGGCCAGAGCCTAGGTCTCCCAATATAATCAATGCTCCTTTACTGAGCAAAACATTTCAGGGAGTTCTAGTGTCCCCTGGGAATCCCACGGTCACCTTGTGCTCCTTAAAGCCGCTGTTTTATGCACTGTTGAGAGTTTAGTGTTAAATGGTCTGGTCTCCTGATCCTTCTATATTTGAACACTGGAGGCAGCTAGTGGTGCTGCTTAAGAGAGGTTACAGAGCATTTGGGACATGGCCTAGTGAGCAGATGCAGCCACTAGGGCTGGAGGCAGGGAGGGAGGAAATACAGCTGGTTCTGTTCCTGGTCCTGTTTTCTGCATCTTAATCCAGAAGATGTGATGCCCTGCCTCTGTGAACTCTACTACCACACCCTCCTTACCATGACAAACTGAAACTATGAGCCAAAATCAAAGCCTTTCCCTTTACATGCTGACTCTGTCACAGCACTGAGAAATGAAGCTGCACTTACATACATAATACTCAAATATACACCTGACAGGATCCGCCAAGCTTCTTATAAACCTAAATAGGCATAGGGCAGAAACTGGCTGAAGAGGGTGCCTCTTCCTTGAGGAAAATAGACTCCATGTTACTACTGTTTACTAGAAACACACACACAAACACACCTGGAACACAAGAGTCCAGAAATCAAAAGACGAAAAACTGAAAGAATCCAAAGTTTCACTGAAATAGATACTTCCTACATGTTTGCTGAACTAACAAGTTAGGATTTTCTCCACCTCAATCCTGGCACATTCTGGACCTGAGACTTATTCTTTGTAACCACCTAAATTCTACGACATTGACCTCCTTTCCATGTTTGTTACCCACTTCCCTGGCCATGACCTCAGACTGAGCATAATGGAGAACTACCTAAGGTCACACAGCCTCTCAAAGTCTCCACTGCAAACCCTGGCCTCACTCTAATCACTGTCCTTATTCTCCCACGTCATCAACATCTCCAATGCCTCAACTGTCCACTTCTTCCCAACCTGTCAGGGGCCCCGGCCCACATTCATTGATCATCCCTTCAGTAACTCCTGACAATCTTTTCAACTACTTCCTACCTTCTTCCTAGTTCTAACTTGTCCACTTTCAGGACTGTGACCTGGCATGAATCCTATTACCCACCTCCTTAATTTTCAACGAAGAAAACTTACAAGCCAAACCTGAGGACTATACTACAAATCCATGGCCACACCATTGCAGGTCCATTTTCGCTTTTAGTCATTCACTTCCCCAAGCCTCACACTTTCAAGTTTCTCTTACCCTCCACATAACCTAGCATTGTCTCTGAGCATTAGCTTTTGTTGCCGAACTAAAATGTCCTTTATTCTAGATGACACTTGCTCCTCCTTTCCTAATTTGAACCATTTGTCATTTTCTAACTTCTGTATCTGCTCATATCTAATGAATATTTTCTTCAGCTTAAAACTTTCAGGGTAAAAACTGCTTCTCTCACTCCACCAACCTTTCTTCATTCCTTTGCACTCAATGATATCATTTTCTCTTTGCTTGCTATTCCCTTCATGCCCCAAATTGTGTTGTTGCCCAGAACTGCAAATAGTTTTCTTTTCCTTCTAGTTTTTGTGGTTGTTTTGTTTTGGGCCAAAACTCAGTATGTAGCCAAGGCTGACCTTAAACTTTTGATCTTCCCACTTCCTGCCTGGTCCTGGGATTGAGAGTACTGGATCACAGGCATGTGCCACCACATCCAGTTTATATGACAATGCTGACTGAACCCAGGGCCTCATATATTACAAGAAAGTATTCTACCAAATGAGCCACACCCTCAGTCTTCTTACTAAAACTGTCGCTGCGAGAAAGGCCTACAAATATGCATCCTGGACTTGACCACTCCTGGATTCTGAAATACAAATGTCAGAACACATGTCTAAGAAGGAACAAAGTACGAATTTCTCCTTCCTGTAGGCATTATTATGCATGTCCACTTCCTCTAGGCATTATTCTACACTTTGTAAAGTTTCCCCCATAACAGATAATTCAATGATGATACCATAGAGATCTTTGACAAACCATGGTATTCAGCCATTTCACATTCAACTAAAAACATGGCAATGGTAAGAAAGCTTTGGGAGTTAATGAGTTTGTAACTTACATCACCAGCAGCTGCAGACTGGGAGATAGTGTAAATTCCAAAGAGTCCAGAATCTGAATAACTGGCATTAAATGCAGAAACCTGAAATATAATGGAATTTTACTATATAAAATTTTTCCAGGTAGAAGAGATCACAATGTTTGGATAAAAACTTGTGCTACTGTTATAGAAACAAAACATAATAATTTACTTAATTCTGTTGAGGGCTGAAATGTTCTGCATAGATTATTCTTTTCAGAACTGCAAAGCTTTAAAGAGTTTTGAGTCATTTAAACCTTCCTAAAACAGCTGCTCATCTTCCTCTTTTTTGGGATTTTGGAGCTTCTCTTGATGGTTAAGGGCCGTACAAACAATTATAGGATACAGTGATCAAGCGATGTAGACTGTGGACTGTAGCACGTGACAGACCTGACTCTTTATTCTGCTCTTGGTACCATCTGTCTCACCAATCTGCTTGTACTTCTATTAACTAAAGGCAAAGGGCTAGATACAAATTTTGCCTAGTGGCCATAGCCATCTAAGGTAGCAAGAAATTTAGCTTGTAACATATAGGGTAAGTCAAGTTTCAAGCTCCCAAAGTTGACCTTGAGTGTCCAGAATAGCACCGTTCAGTATTTATGTGAATACATATACATATGTATGTATGTATATCACCAAAGATATTAAAAGATGCAGGTTTTCAGATTCTTTTTGTTTGTTTTTTTGAGACAAGGTTTCTCTGTGTAGCCCCAGCTATCCAGGAACTCTATAGACCAGGCTGGCCTCAAACTCACAGAGATCCACCTGCCTCTGCCTCCCGAGTGCTGGGATTAAAGGTGTGCACTGCTACCACAACCCAGCTGTTTTTCAGACTCTTGAAACAGATTTATTAATTCATATCCCTGTGAATGCAGCCTGAAAAGCCCACATTTCAAACCCATGTTCTAGATGATAATTATGCACGATGAAGTCTGAGAATCACTGGTAGTTTATGTAAAGTACAAAAGAAATACACTTCAAGTTTAACTATAATTAAATTAAGATAATCCTAGACATACTTCCAGCTTCTGGCTCATTTCTCAACAAGTTCTAGTCCAATGTTACAATGAAGCATCAGTAACAGTCACTGGTGAAAACTGATATATCAAAAAAATGGATGATGAATTAAGGAAAAGAAAATAGAAAAGAAAATAAAAAAGAAAAAAAAAAGAAAATCTGAAGGAGATTAAATTTAAGACAAAGATTTTCAAACTGTTCAATGGAACCCCAAGGCTCCATACAGAAGGGTTTCATAGTTTTCAAAATTTCTTTAGAAGTTAAAATGCTTGTGTTGTGCATTGTAACACATATACAATGCATATATAAAAGTTCCTCTGCTTAAAATGTTTACAACTATCGTTCAAATGTTAAACAGTGGGACAAAACCCAGAACAATGTTGACTGCTATTACTACTGTCTCGACCTCCCACATTCTAAGGTTACAGATGTGCAGCACCATACTCAGCTCAGTTACTGTCTTCTAAAGGCAGACAAAAGACCAAGGAATTACAGATACTTTGTTGACATTTCACAATTTCTTTTTCTTTCTCACTTGAGCAATGTCATGTAGGCTAGCCTTGAATTTCTGATCCTCCTGCCTCACCTTCCAAGTGCTGGGATTACAAGAGTATGCCACCATGCCTGGTTGACATTTCATACATTCCTGATGCAAATATCACATTTTGAAAGCATTTTCCTGTCATAAAAAAGTGTCAAAAGTTAACATGGGAAACCCATAATCCTAGTGTTTGGGAAGCAGAAGCAAGAATATTAAGTAGTCAAAGTTGTCTTCAGCTACACAGCAAGTTTTGAGACCAGTTCAGGATATATGTGACCTTGTCTCCAAAACAACCAACCTTCTGTTGTTTTTCTTAATATTTATTTTTCATTTATGTATACAAGTGCTTTATTTGCTTGTATGCCTGAATGATAGAAGATCTCATTATAGATGGCTGTGCGCCACTATATAGTTGCTGAGAATTGAACTAAGCAACTCTGGAAAAGCAGCTGTGCTCTTAACCTCTGAGCCATCTCTCCAGCCTCCCTGTTCTTTTTGTGTTCAATTAATTTTTTGTGCCTGTTAACTCACTGTTTTTTTTTTTGTTTGTTTTGTTTTTCCCACTTGCTTGGAAAACAAAGAACAGCAAAACTCAGGAATCAGCCACATGAGCAAAAAGAGAGGAAGATACCAATTACATCTAGGGAAATAAGGAAAATGAAGTCTTTCTTTTAATAGCATTTTCTTTCTTTATATAACATATTTGTATATAACTGTGCATATGTGCTTGTGTATGTATATGTATGTGCACAGACGCATATCTTTTGTCAGGCAGTGACTACACTGGTTTTTGAGACTAGGTCTCTCACTAGCTTGGAACTCAAGGCAGACTGGCTAGGGAGTCCCAGAGACCCACCTGTCTCCACCTCCCCAACACTGGATTATAAGCATGTGCCACCACACCTAGCCTTCTTACATGGTTTCTGGGGACTGAAACCATGCTTGCAAGGTAGGTACTTTATTCCTCCCTCTGCTGCTAGTGTGCTGGAATACCAGGTTTGAGCCATCTAATCAAGCTTATATTTGTTCATCTTAAAATTTAAAATCAGACTATCTTTAGTAGACAATCAAGCTGTATCACAAATAACATGTTTCTGGAAGCTAAAACAGGAGATGTGACTGCTCAGACTCACATCAAAAGGCTGGTGACTTCCTTTAGCAACACTCTGGCTCAGGAGGCTGGTGGTGTTGTTGCCCCTTTTGACATGTGGTCCAGCACCAAGTAGATGCTGAAGGACACTAAATGCATTTGCTTCTGTACTTCCAATGGCAGCACTTTCTGCTACGATAGCAGCATGGACCAAGTTGTCTCCGTTTTGCTTCCTAATTTCACCTGGGATCATGTAAGGAGGGAAGAGAAGAAAAGTAACTTTATTACCACTGATGTTACTCATCAGGATTCTCTATGACACAGTAGATTAGGGTCTGTGCTTTATCAGGCCTTCCCCAGTCAAAGCATGTTTAATGTAACACCCAAGACACCTACTTCTTTTCTTCTGTACTGACATAACTTGGTTCTAACAATCAAGCCAATACAGCCTCAACATGCCGTTCCTGCAGGTAAATGCACTGGCATATGCTACTACCTAGGAGAAAGAATATTTACCTCCACGGTATTTGGCTTTTACACCAGCCAAACCAAGGCCACCCCTCATGTTGAGAAACTGTTCAGCAACTTGCTTTAAGACATGATGGCTTACACCTGTTTCAATGGAAGCAAAAACAAAGCTAGAGTCAATATTTCTATTTAAAATACATAATTATTAAACGCAAACAGGCTTTTAACAGACAGCTCAGCAGGCAAAAGCTCTACACCAGTCTGGAGACGAGTTGGATCCCTGGATCCCACCTGGGTGGAAGAAGAGAACTGACTCTACTGTTTGTCCTCTGTCCTCCATACACATGGTGCTGGTGGCATGTACTCAGCTGCTAATCATATACACACACGGAATATTATTTATAAATCCAAAAGTATGCAAATATTACAGAACTAAACAGCAACAAAACAAACAAACAAAAACCATGAGTCTTCTTGCCAAAATACTCTCTTCCTGGTATCATTTTACAATTTTAACTATTATGTTCATCTAGATGTTCTTAGGTATAGTTACTAATATATATTACCTCCCTCCCTCCTCCTTCCCTCTGTCCCTCCATCCCTTCCTTCCTTCCTTTTAATGGCATACACCACCACTGACCAGCTTCTTTTGTGGTCCCACAGGCTGAATGGAGGCCTCAAGCAGGCTAGACATATGTTCTACCACAGAGCTATACTCCAAGACCCTATTTTAAAAGTGGTGGTATTCTCTTTAATGTTTCTAAATTGTCTTCCATAATTTGTATTTTTGCAAGGTTAGGTTATAAAATATGCTACTCTATGGATGCATCATTTATTCAACCAAAACCTTCTTAATGGACATTAGCATGTTTCTAATAGCTGTTGGAATATTGCATTGTATACCAAAGGGCAATCAGGAGAGAAAAGACAACCCATGTAATATAAGATATCTACAAGCCACATACTTGGTAACGGGCGATATAGTATCCAAAATAAAGAACTTTTAATAGACATATTACAAAGTTGTCAATTTTTATTATCAGTAATTCTTTTTCTTTCCAAGACAGAGTCTCATGATGTAGCTCTGTTGGTCTGGAACTCACTATGTAGAACAGGTTGGCCTTAAGCTCAGAGAGATCTATCTGCTTCTGGCACGCTAGGATTAAGGCATTCGCCTTCATGCCCACCATGTCAGTAAATTTTCAGTATGTATTTCTCCAAATTCTAGGTAATACTGGGAAGTGCCAACTTTTTAATTTTTGTCAATCTTGCAGATTAAAATTTTCTTAGTGATACTCTTTGCTAATAAAAGTTTACCTTTGTCACAAATTTTGCAAACACTGTCAAGAAGGAAACAGTAAATACTGGAATTTATTTCCAAAACAACTAGCAATTAAAATCCTATCATATAGTATCTTCTTACAGTTTTCAAAATGTTCAACCCTGTGCATTTGTCACATAGCTTAAGGGGTTATTCTTGGAAAGCAAACTGACATGCAGGCAATCTCAGACTTACCGAGTCCAACCAACGCCATCCTTGCACTTGTGAAGTGGTTCTGAACAAAGTAATGTAACTGAGGAAGTAAAGAAAAGCTATATTAAAGTATAAATGCAGAAGGCTAAAAACATACAAGTGCATTATTGCAGGAAACAAATTCCCATGTTTGAATGTTGTCTTATGGACTACGAAGGATATAGCTCATCACACTGTAATTTTATCACTAAAAACTATGGCTTAACAGAACAAGACTTTCATTGTGCTCATGCTTCTACAACTCTGATGAAAACTCTAATAAAACCATTGAATTTACACATAATGAACAGTGTGAGAATTGTGTCTCAATTAAAATGGAATGAATGGCTACAGAAAAGTGATTAAAGCACTTGCCATGCGAGCGTTAAAACCAGTGTGGAACCCAGAACCCATGAAAATGCCGGGTGGTCAAGGTGGCCTGCCTGTAATTTTAGCCATTAGGAAGGCAGAGTCAGGTAACTCCCAGAGCTCTGTGTCTGATTAAAAGACCCTGTCTCAATAAATAAGGTGGAAGGGTGATCAAGGATGATTCCCAACTTCATTGAACCTCCACATGCATGTGCACATTTCCCCTCACAAACATGCATACACATACATCACACCACAGACACAACAATGGAAAAAAAATGAAAACAAGAGTATACACTGGCTTGAAATCAAGAATGACACTAAATTTATGCCTTTAGTATAATGACATGGTTTTAAATGGTATATCTGATTTACTGTGTCTTGACACAAGTAACCATACAATGGTATACTATTCAATGAGAGACTACTAGAACTATACTTCTCCTAACCATTTTCTCCCCTGTTTCTTTTCCTTTGTTTCTGTCTGCTTCCTTTTTTCTTTTGGGGAGATAGGTCTGTCCTACTCAAGTTTGAAACCAGTTTGTCTCAAACTTTACTTGCAATCAGGTCAGTCAACACCAGGGTTTCTATGACAGTTAACCCACTTATCAAACTAATGACACACACACCCTAAATGTGGGCAGCAACATCCCTGGGCTGGGGTCCAGGACTGAACAAGCAAGGAGAGAGCTAGTGGAGCACCAACGTTAATCAGTCTGTTTCCTGACTGTAGACACTAGCTGCCTCACCCCATGACAGACAGTATTCTCAAACTCTGAAGCAAAATAATCTTTTTTTAATTTTTATTTTTTAAATCAAGAGTGTGATTATACGAATGGGAAAGTTACCAATGCAGTTTCTAATATACTCTGCAGAATTGTCTAAGAGAGTGTTCATACAAAAATAACATTATCACTTTCCCTCAACTCCCACTGTTTCTAATACCCACACTACAGAGGGATGAAGCTGATTGCAGGTGGAATCTTAGAATCTTTAAAAACAGTTAACTGAAACTGGATACAATAGAGCATACCTGTGTGATTCTGGCACACAGGAGGCCAAGGATTCTGAGTCTGAGGCCAGTCAAGGTTATTATACAGAGAAAAAAACAAAACAAAACAAAACAAAAAAAAAACCCAACTACTCATTCATCCAACAAGCCTCACATGCCTACAACATCAGTGAAATTTGGGAATCTTGGTTTATATGACTACCTTAGGCTAAGCAGACAAAAAGCAGGACTAGCATTTATCTTATTATGAGTAATAAGTGCTACCTCCAAGGGTCTAAAAATTTGTTTTGGGGGCAGGAAAAAACAACATCATTTTATAGGCAAAGTGGCTATGTACTGGTTTATAAGCAGATACACTGTTCTACACTGCAGAGGTGCACTGTCTCCTGGAGGGGTACAGAGAGTGACTGAAGTGATTCTGACAGGAAACACTGGCTGAATTTTCACCAATTTATCAAGCTATGACCTAAATGAATAGTAAACATCTGTTGAGTCACCTTAGATGGATTTTTATGGATGTTTTTCTACTGAAGCTGAATTGCTAAGGTATTGGCAATGTCTTAGCTAATTTCCTTAGTCTTCCCTTAGTCTAGGAACACATTAAGAAAAAAATGAACAAACCAAAACATTAATGGTCTCTGAGAGTACCAAGCTTATCATAGTTAACACCTTAGTATTTGTCTATGAATAGTTTTTTGCTTTAAATGTGATTTTTTTGGCCTATCCTAACTCATAAATTGCCTTTATTTACAATATGCTATGAAATGTTTACATATTTGTAAATATTTTTACTTTTTTTAAAAAATTAATTTTATTAATTATTATGGTGTATACAAGTCCAGGTATGACTGTGCCATGGTGGCCAAAAAAATAACTGGAGAGTTGGCTCTCTTCTTCCATGGTGGGATGTGGGATCAAACTAAGGTCACTGGATTTGTGTGGATTATGTGGACTGGTGGCTAGGTGTGAACATTCATGAAATGCAAATGCAGTTCCATCACTTACTTCATCTGGGGTTACTTTCCCTATCCGATAGTCAGGACAATACAAGGGATTAGCCAACGTATTCTTGTAGGCAACATCATGCAAGTCCTCAATGACACCTGAAAGACAGATAAACAACAGGTACTCAAATGTATGGACAGCTATGGTATTTTTAAACAACAGCAATAAGACTATACAGCTTTGCTATTCAAGTTTTCAGGGACTTGAAATTTGTTACCACATAACTTCTAGCAACTTGTATATCTGTGCCTGTGGAATACAGAGAAGAGGAGAGCAGTTATCTCTGCAAGAAAGAATGCTTCACCGAATCTGAATCTGACTGTGCTTCCAGGTTCTCTCCCTGGGTAATAAGAGCATTTCCAGGACACAGGGAGCTGTGGAAGCACCAGGCTTGTTTTGGGTAGTCAAAAGGTAGCATTGATCTGGACTTAACTCTTTCCTGGTGCCCTGGCACTGCTGTCCCTGCCTTTTGTGCCTTCTCTGGAACTATATTTCCTCTATCTGTTCATTATTTGGGCATACCTCCTGATGCCAGGCACTGTGCTAGTTGCTAGAAACAAAGATGAGTAGCTACAATGGCCACAAAATGTCAAGGGGAAAAATTATGAAATAAAATTGTTATCAGTACAATGTTAGCAGTGAATATGCAGTTGGGCATATGGAACAACAGTGGGAAATGGAAAAGTGAAAGAAAGAAAATCTGGGAAGAGTCTTCTAGAATGACTGAGCAATTCCCAGGTGAATAATTTGTGAATAGCATAAAATGCAGAGGAAACAGATAAAGAAAAGTCTGACTTGGGGTGTGTGGGGGTTTAGGATGGGGTGGGAGTCAGTGCTGGAAGGAGAAGATGTTGCATAGCAGGAAAGAAAGACTTTGTAAAGTCTTCACTGTTAAGGAATGAAAGATGTTTAAGAAGATAGGTATGTTTAACCTGATTTAAACATTACACACTTAGACAAGTATCAAATATACATGGTTCCCATTAATAAGCACAACTTTGTATTAATACTAATAATAATAAACTAAAAGAATAAGGATGGGGCCAGATGAAAGCTATAAAGGCTAGACAAGAGTTCTGAACTCTAACTTAGAAGTTATTTTTAAAGGATGTTCATTTGGTTTTCAAAGCAGAAAGATCACTGGCAAGGAACTAGGAAGCTGGACTAAATTAGTAATCCTAGAGGTGAAGGTGGAAGCAGCCAGGAGATGTAACAGGACATGTTTGGTCAGAAAAAGAGGAAGGCTGGAAGCAGCCACCCTGGACATGTCAGCCATTTTGTCTACAATATTTGTCATTTGATCACATTCCTCTGCGACACAGCATGATCAATCAGCCACACAAACCTCTAAGGTGTAGTAGACAGGTTCTTTCTCTAGAGTCCTGCACTTGGTCCCTGGTTCCACTCAGAGCCACTACAGCTGGTCCTTGTTCTGGTCCACCTGCTCATTTTTGCTTCTATCAGAAGCTGTGCAATGTCTAAAAGCCAGTGGTGTGTGTTTACAGATTTGCTTTGCCAAATATATCTGTTAATATTATATAATCAAACATCACAAATATCAATGCGAATTAGTTATATTAAAAATTACGGAGTGTTTTTTTCCTTAAAAACAATTTTTATACTATATATCTTGCTCAAGTTTTTCCCACTGACTTTCTGTTCTTTCTCTCTCTCTGTAAAAATAAACAAAAAACAAGCTCGGTGCCGTGGCGCACACCTTTAATCTCAGCACTCGGGAGGCAGAGTTCGATATGAACTCTTAAATGGGATTGCGCAGGTGGGTCTCTGAGTTCAAGGCCAGCCTGTTCTATAGAGAGAATCCCAGGACTGCCAGGCTACACCTTGTCTCAAATAAACCAACACACACCTAGAAACACACATATAACCCCAACAAAAACAGAAACCAAAATAAACAAGCAAAAAAACCAGTAAGACAAAAAAATGTGGGGTGTGCTCTGGAAGTGAAAGGGTTAGACTAACTTTGTAACCTGTATGTCTTCTAAAGCCTATAGTCTTGAGTTTTAGGTTCAGGTTAAGCTAAAGCCTCTTAGCACCTTTTCAGAGAATGAAGAAATGTGACCCCATCTATGAGGACAGATAGAAAAAAAGCAAGCAAGCAATGACCTTCACTCAGCAAAAAGAACGACCAGACCCTTGTCTTCAAGATAAGTGTTTCTTAGCAACGAACCCAGACTTCTGAGTAGCTTTTGACCTCCAGCCAAGAGCCCGCAGCCCCTAAGCTTCAAGGATGAGCTAACCACCCCCACCTTTAATTGCAGTTGTATCCACACTTGGCAGGACTGGCCAAGCTTGAGCAACTAAGACTAACCAATTATCTTACTTTATAACTTCCTCATCCAATCCTAAATTGCCAAAACTGCAACTTTAAATTTCCCACAATTTTTCTTTTAAAAACCTAAAGGTCTTTGTCTCCCGGTGCCATGCTTTGCCGACCGGCAGGGGTGACCCCATTGCGCAATGGTTAAATTAAACCTCTTGCTTTTGCAATGAGTTGCGTGGTCTGTGAGAGTTTCTGGGAAAGGCGCGATCTTGAACTCCTGAGCTGTGAGACCCCCGGTCTTACAAAAGGACCCTCTAAGGGGGAAGTGAGTGACAGCAGCAACACGTAGGAGTAAACTGCAACAGTAGGAGCATAAAACAGACTGCTGCTGGGTTTGTCCTAAGCAAAACCAAAACCAACGTGGTAAGGAAACATGAAAAGCCTGTAAAAGTCTACTATCAATTTGCCTGCTATCAAGTGGAGAAATCAACAACACAAATGTTTAGTAATAACAGAACAAGTAAGACTCTTGGGTGACAGAGCCCATTTTGGGAGGTATTTCCATGTCCACATAGGACTTTCTTTACAAACTGATCCTCTCAAAACTATAATCTTGGAAACAAAGAAGCGGGTCTGCAAATGTACTCACGAGTCTGTGAATTCTTAAAGGCAACAGCTTTGTCAATCGTCAGCTGAGACTGAAGGGCAGCTACTTCCCAACGGCGAAACTCTGGTGCTGTGGTGACATTGAGCAGGAACTCCATCAGGATTTCACTACAGAACACCAGTGAAGAGGAAGAGGTCAAAAACATCTCCTGTGTTATGACACGTACCTTTGATTTATAGGTGGAGGCAGAAGAACTTTTCTTTTAGGCTAGCCTGAGCTACGAAATAATACTTTGAAAAATAATGCCTTAAAAAATCACGGGTGGGAGCTCAAGGATAGAAAGCTAGCTTGATGTACCCTAAGGTTCTAGGTCAGTGGTTCTCCACTTTCCTAATGCTGCAACCCTTTAACACAGTTCCTCATACTGTGGTGACACCCCACCAAAGTTATTTTCATTGCTACATCACAACCGTAATTTTGCTACTGCTATGAATAGTAAGGAAAATATCTGTGTTTTCCAATGGTCTTAGGCCACTGGACCCATAAAGGAATTGCGACTCGCAGGTTGAGAACCACTGCTCTAAGTGATTTCCAGGACCACAACAAAATATAAATCAACACTTAAGGTAGTAAACTCCTGGGTCTGTGGAATCTTTTAGGTTGGGGAGATGGCTCAGCAGGTTAAAGAACATTGGCTGATCTTCCAGAGGACCAAGGTTCAATTCCCAGGACCCATATGGCAGCTCAGAACCATCTGTAACTCCAGTCCTAGGGGATTTAACATCCTCTTCTGGCTTCCCTGGTTACCATGCATGCATGTGGTACAGAGACATGCATGCAAGCAAAACACCCGTATACATAAATAAAATAAAGTAAAAGAAAATGCTTCTTTTAAGAGGTAAGAAACATTCAGTAGGTCGTGTGAACAACAAGTGTCATATCACTATTTAGTAAGTTGAGCGTGGTCCCAAAGACTTTGGATATTACCTGTGGGTGGTTGGGGGTTAGATACTAAACTATAATCTTAGTTGTGGTTAGGAGCCCAATCCATACCAGGTTTGTGAATAATATTCTAAAATAAATGTCTAAGGTCACAGTGACAGAGTCAATTGAGTAGTAGTTTAGTCTTTGTGTTAGACACACACCCATACATACATATACATATATATACGTTAACATACAAAGTATTAGGTTTCATCCTGGCATATTAAAACATTTCCTCCCATCTTCTCCTCTTGTCTGCCCTCTTCCACCTGCACTGTTCCGCAGCTAGTCACTTCCTTTTTCCTTTCACATCATAGGTGTTTCACTGTCCTCCCTGCCTTCTTCAACACCTTGCGACTCCCTTTTCAGTGTCATGAACCACACCCACTCTCCTGCACACTTGCAGAAACATTAAAAGCTAGGACCTACTGAGACAATATGGTATTTATCTTCTGAGTCTAGATCACCTTGTTTAATATAAACTTGGTATTTTTTTAAAAAGTAATGTTGTTTCTATTTTTATTATAAACTTTTTTCTTTAGATTTTAAAAAGTTTTATTATATATGTATCTCTCTGTATAGGTTCATAAATTTGAGTCCAGGTACCTGTGGAAGCCAAAAGAGGGCATTAGAACCCCTGGAGCTAGAGTTACAGGCAGTTGAGAGGCTCCAGATGTGGATGAAGGAACCAACTTCTGGTCCTCTTCAAGAACAGTATGCACTCTTACTCACTCACTAAACCGTATCTCTGGCCCCCCAATTTTTTATTCGCTGAACTTTTTATATAATAGGATAGAAGATTTTATTATGACATTTTCACATGTCATTGTATAATCTGCCCCTCATATCCCCATAAAAGCAGATGTTTTAATGCATGCAAATACTTACATATCATTCCGAATGCCTTCTACAGTGTAAGCCATGTTTTCCCTTGATGCAGTTACACTGAATTAAAAATACAGTGAATTATCAGAATTAAAAAATAACTTTTCTTACATATTCTTTGTTAAAGCACCAATTCTTTGTACTACCAGTGAAAGTAATATATATTCAACTAAAATTTTAAAGTATTTTGAAAAATGACAAATAAATCCACCTTAAAAAGCAATCAAAATTTGACTCATGGTACAACTTGGATGAACCTTGAGGACTTTATGTTAAGTAATTTACTATGAACATATTTTGTAATTTATTCATGCAGAGAACAAAAATGACAGCAAAATATAAAGCTAACATTCTAATAAAGGACAGTCAAAATCAGAGAAAATAGGACGGTGACACGGAAAAAGGGAATAAAAGGTGACCGTTTAGTGGACCGCGCTTCAGCTGAGTACAACATGAAGTTCAAGAGGTGGATAGTGGTAATGATTAGCCAATGTCTCAAGTGTCATTTAATGCTATGGTACCCGAAATATATTTAAAGTGGCAAATTTTATGTTCCACATATTTTACAATGAAAAACAAAAGGCCAAATAAATACTCAAGACTCCTTTGTATGCTTTAGATAACAATTGCCTTATTCTCCCCAGCTCCAGAAACCATAACCCTACATACACTGTCTTTAAATTCTTTACACAGGTGCACATACTTATTTTAAAAAAGGATTATTTTATTTATGTGTATATGTGCATGTGCCTATGGAGGCCAGAAGATGGTGTGAGACGCCCTGGAGCTTGTGTTACAGGGCTCCTGGAGGAGCAGTATGCATTCTTAACAACAGAGCTATTTCTAACCCACAGACTATCAGCTCTTCATAGTCCCAGCATGGCCATCACTCTAGCCTTTTCTTGAACTGGACTTTCAGCTTCCAGTCTTTAAAAAATAACATGGCATGGCACCGTATCACCACACTGATGATTCTGTTTTGGTTTCCTCTTTCGGGAACAGCCTTTTTTACCTTTTGTTCCCTTTTCTTCTAGTTGTTTTTTTGCCTCCCCGATTTATGGTTTTTACTTTTCTCAAGCAGAAATCTTTTGCACATTGTATATACTATAAATACTTACCCCCAATGTACAGCCATATTTCACATTTTTGATGAATATTCACCAATTTCCCTTCTGTTTAAGAAATCTTTAATCCTTCTGTTAACAAAGGGAAGTCACCCTGTAATTGATCATTTCTGTGTTTCCCCACCTCCTTTGAGACAGGGTCTCACTGTGTCATCCTGGCTGGCCTGGCATGTACTGAGATCCACTTGCCTCTGCCTCCCAAGTGCTGTGATTAAATGCATATACTATCATGTCCAGCTTCCTCTACCGCTAGATTTGTTTTTAATGATGTGTATAAAGCATGTATCTGTGAGGGTGTATGTGCACATGAATGTGGCTGACTATAGCAGTCACAGAGTTGGATTCCTGGAGCTGGAATTATAGTAGTTGCGAGCTGTCTGAGTGGGTGCTAGAAACCAAACTCAGGTTCCCTGCAAGAACAATGAACCTTTTAAATTATTGAACCATCTCTCTAGCCTGGCTATTTCTTACTATTCAACAAACCTTAATTTACCACCAACTGCTTCAATTCCACGGGTTATCTTGAAAGACGAAGCTCCTTTGGTAGTCTTGAAAAAGAAAGGATGCCTTTTTAAAATAGTTCTTCAATGACACATCTGCCACACATCACACTATGTCAAAATCTATTGTTTTAACTGTTATTAGCAGATCCAGGGCTTTACTAAATCATCTCCTCAGCCCCTTATTTTTTTCTTCCCTATAGGCCCAAGATCTCACACATCATTTCCAAACACTGAGGTAAAAAAGATACTCACCAAAGTAGATGCAAGACGTAGTAAATGAGCAGTTCCTAAGTTGCTGGAGTCTTCATATCTACTGCCTACTTTAATGAATAAGCCAATTCTTGATAGAGGAGCGTAGTTTTCCAGAGAAGCAATCACCAGACCATTTGGTAATTTGGTAAACTGTAGTTAAGACAGAACAGAGATGTGACCAATGCCTGTATGTAACGAGGAGTTTAAGTCAAGCGAATGTGGATTCCAATGAGCAATTCAGTAGAACTAACCTCAAGACCCTCAGGCTTCAGAGGCACTCTTCCAGGGGATGCTGAAGCTTTAACCTTCGGGGCAACTTTGAGGGAATAAAATCTCTAAAAACAACAAAGAGAGGTTATGTGTGCTCTCATAAGAAGAATCCTTTTACATGTAAAAGCATCAGCACCACCACGCAGTGATCTCAAGTAAATCATCACCATCATGGGAAGGTCACACAAATAACTTTAATTTATTAGAGGTTCAATCCACCCAAGCCATATTTTTTTTCCCCCCTGTAGACAACTTTTCTTTATTCCCCTTCCCTTCTTGGGGGAAAAAAAATTCAATGTGTCCAGGATGACCTCAAACTCATGATTCCTCTGGGTCTACAGGTTTATACTCCTGTGCCTGACTTGAGTCACTGTTAAACTTCTACCTATTTGTGATTTTTAGAGAATAATGAGTTCTCTATGATCTTAGAAAACAACAACACCAACAACTATGTGTTTTCTTTACCCTTTGATTATTTTATTAAAATTTTAAGTGTTTCTTTTTAGTTGTAATGTTTTCAAAGTTTTTGAACAGTTGGATGTTTTAAGATTTCAGTACTATGGCTTCCTTCATTTTTCAGTCTCTTTATTTTCCACCTAAAATAACCTTCATCACCTTGATCATGTAAGGATCTTTTCTCAAAACCCCTGACACCTCCATTATATTTGCATCTTCTTATGTGCTGTTCTAGGCATAGTCAATCCAAGGAAGGGTCCCAGCTTCTTTGGCCAAATATCTACGTCATCCTAAGATCAACAAGGGATTAAGTTAACAGCGAGTTCTCAGTATAATCTGTATAACCTGGATGACAGATCTAAATGCATTGGATTTATCTGTACACATATATTTACAAATAACCCACAAGAATACAGTTATTCCATTTATGTCTAGGCTTCACAGGGTTACTAATGGACATGGCAGCAAATAAAGCCTTATGATGCTAAGATCCAAAAAAAAGTGTTGCTGTCTTTTGCCCAAGATATCTGTAAAGTGCTCCTCCTCCGCACTGCCCAGGCTGCTGTATACTGACCACTCAGCCATTAGAGCTGGATTAATCTGGCTGCTGGCTTTCATTTGTGCTTTCCCTTCAGCTCTTTGTCTTTATCAGTTTAGTTTGCCAGGTAAGGTGTATGAAGCCACTTGTGGTTTATTTTATTTATTTATTTATCTATTTATTTATTTATTTATTTTGGCTGTGATTTCCCAAAATGTAATTCTATAATAACCAGGCATAGCAGCCCACATATGAATAATCCACAGTTCCATTACCAAGCAAGATTTAGGTGCTTGGGGTTGTGACATTTTAAAAAATTCTCCATTTCTCTGTTTTGTTTTTTTTTTTTTTTTTTTTTCCAGGAAAGACTTATCCTTTCAATTATCACACAATTTCTATTTTGTTTTAATAAAACACACATCAACTTCTTCACGTGAAAAGTAGGGAAGTCCTGCCTTCGACGGACTGTTAGCAATTGGTTGGTCTAGGTGCAAGGAATTTTACAACCGTAAAATTCTACAATACATATATGTAAGCACAAAGCACAAGGAAACAACTCTCCCCAGGCCAGGACTTTTTTGCATCATTGTCTAGCGGTCTCTCAACAGAAAATACTGGCATTTCGGTGTTGTAATTCTGCGCTGCATGTGCTGATGGATGTTTAGCGGCATAGCTGACCACTAAGACGCCAGAAGCACCCTCCCGAAGGGTCATTAGGAACAAGTTCCACACGCAACTGGCCAGTAAGGACAAGCTAGCCTTTGCTGAAAATTAAATGCTCCCATTCTCGTCTGTGCATAACCACTGTTTCACAGTGTTAACGTGCTGACACCTGAGGTACTTTCCCTCAAGTGACAACTAAGTAATTTAGGGTTAGGAAGAAGCCTTGGCGCCCCGGGAGGGAGAGCCAGCGGCCCGGTGTCGGCGGCCTCCGCCCTACCTGCTTCTCCCGTGACCTTCAGGAGTCTCCCGAGCGTCGCTTCACCGCCACCCTCCAGGCCACCCTTCTCTCCGGCTGCTCCCAGGACCCGCCGAGCCTCCCGGGCCTCAGCTCGCCGGCGGCCCGCGGATCCGCGGGGCTCACCTGAAGGGCAGACCCGGGCTTGACGCCAGGGCCGCACACTCCGCCACCAGCCCCGGGGCTGCCGACAAGCCCTGCCCCGCGCGCGCCCCCGTGCTCACCGAGAAGGACCCTGCCCTGCTGAGGAGCTTCATGGCTCTAGTGGATGCCCTTTCCCACGGTCACCGCCGCCGGCAGCTCCGCAAGATGGTGTCGGACGACCGCGTTTCCCGGCGTGCACTGCGAGCCTGCCCACGCCCCCTCGGCTGAGCGACTCTCTACACTCGCCGGGCTCCACTGCTCCTGGAGGCGGGGCCGGCCATTGGGAGGCTAGGGCGCTTCGGGGACCGTTTCTGTGTCCTTTCCCCGCAAGAACGTGCAGCCTAACATCCTGCGTCCGCAAACGCCGCGGTCACCCCAGCCGTGCGCCAGTCCGGAAGTCTGGGCGCTTCCTTTCCCCCGGAGATCTCCCTTTACTGCAGTCCTCTCGGATCTGTGCAGAGACTGGAGAGACGAGCACCTCCTTCTAACAGATCGACCCACTTGCAGGTGGGCCCGCAGCCCAGGTAGCAGCGAGGGTTCGATCTCATGTACCTACGCAGAAAAAGAAATCCCGTTGTTTTCTCGTGACACGTATTTGGAATGTGTGTGCATGCGAGTGTGTATGTTTGTTGGAAGTGCAGGCTCTCCAGTTTCTCTGCCGCATCCGGATCTGTTTTTACAAGATTTCGAAGTGATTTACAGGCATACTAGAACTTCAGGAAGGGTGGTAATGCGGGTTGGACAGGATGACAGGCAAACATGGGCTCTTGGCAGGTGACTACAATTTGACTCTAAATGGTATCCAAGATCGGTCATTAAATACGTTGCCAACACTTGCCTTCAGGGTGGACCTCCAAACCAGAGTTGGCTCCCGTATTAGGAGTATTCACAGTATTGGCACAGGAGGTGATTTTAAGTTAGTACATGAATGAACACTGACCCACTCTAACGGTTATGTACTTGTTTTGGGAAGCAATTCTAGTAACAAACTTTCTCTTTAAGTGCACTTATAAAAGAACAAAGTTGACTTTACAATGCTTAGCTATTGGTGCATGCATTTAATCCTAGCACTCCTGCCCCGGAGGCAGAGGCAGGCTTGGTCTACACGGTAAGACTGTCTTACAAAAACAACAGTTTCTTCAATCTTGTCTTCAGTGCCTGAGATTCTCTTTCCAACTCTTACACTCTGTTGATTAGCCTTACCTCTGAGGTTCTGATTATTTCTATTGTTCTAGAGGTCCTTGGACATATTCGTAATAGCTATTTTGAAGTCCTTGTCTTGTGTTTCAGCAATATTCTATTTCTTAGTGCCTACTGTGGTAGGATTATGTTGCAGTGAGCCACAGGGGAAGGTTCTTTGTGACGGTATTTGAAGCTCTAGTTTAAGACATTTCCAAAAGAGTTAAGCAGAAAGGATGAAATTTTTTCGGCAAAAGTTGTTTTTCTTTAAGGAAAAGGCTATAAAGTAGTGTTTAAAGTTAAAAGCATCAAAGTTCAAAATTATCTTAAGTTTAATGGAGCTATATTGAGTCCACTGACAGTGGGCAGAACGCCACTATGCTAGAGTGAGGTCCGTGTCTGCAAGTGCATTTACCCTGGAAAAACCACCATCAAAATGATTTTTAATTCTAGAAATGATGATTGACAATTTGGTTGTTTGGATTCCATTTAAATAGTTGGAATTTGGGGCGTGTAATACATGTTTCCACTTGTAAAATACACAAAAAGTTAGTTTATGCTAAAAAGACAGCTTAAATATAGGATTAAAATATTTAATGTGTGTGTGTGTGTGTGTGTGTGTGTGTGTGTGTATATAGGGGTGGATGCACTTACATACAGACATACTTGGAGGCCAGAAGAGGGTGTAAGATCGCCTGAGCTCGAGGTACAGGTGGCTGTGAGTCACCTGGTGTGGATGGATGCTCACAACGGAACTCTCCGCCTTTGCAAGAGCAGCAAGTACTCTTAATCTCTGAGCCATCTCTCCAGCCCCTGAATATAGGATTTTTATCATACACATATGATACAAAAACATGTTCCTTCAATAAAGTTATCACACAGCATATTTAATGGGAAACTACTAAGATGTTATATAAAAGGTCACTAAATAAACTGTCTTCTTTCAGAAAAGCATTTATTTTCAATCTTGACATAGTTTTGTTATCCCCCTAAAGTAGATCTTGACTTGTTATTTAGATCTTGAAGGATAAGCTTTCAAGGTCCAAGACTCAAGTTCAGCTGCAGCTAGAAAGAAAAATTAAGAATTACCATCTTTACTTCAGAGCCTTAACAGTTAACAGCAGGAGTCAGTAAGAAAGACTGAGCAAAATGACTAGCATGTATGTTTCACTACAATACAAACCTAAAACAAATACAGTTTTCTCATATATACACACTGAATTGATTATAATCAGGGCTAAGTGTAAGCACGTATTCCCATTCTTCATTCATTTAATCAGCCTTGTGCTAAGTGATGAGTACTGAAAGGATATATCCCAGCCCTCGATAAACACTTCATTGTATTCAATCCCCGAATCAGATGGATGTATAGTGTCTATACTGAGCCACAGAGACTTTGACAGGTAAAATACAGGAACCACTGCAACACTCAGAGGGCCTTCCATGCCAGTATTGTGTTGATATCATAGCCCCTTTGGTGGAGCTTAAAATATAAGCTGATATTGGGGGAAGAGAGGAGAAAGTCTGCCGTGCAAACACAGGAGGTGAGGAAGAACGTGAGTAACCCACGGATGCTGAAAGCAGGAGCAATTGTCCAAAGCAGGTGAGTGGTGAGAGAAGGCAGAATCACTAGGCAGCAATCATTCTCATTTCTAGTCTTCATAAGGAGGAAGTCGGTATTTCTTCCTCCAGGCAAAGGGTAAGCCAACAAGAAATACAAAATGGGATGTTAAATGATACTTGTCAAGTGACAGTTTAAGTGTGATTGCTTGACTAAGTATCATAGGTAATTGTAGCTCTTGAGGATGTTGGCTGCAGATGTTAATTATTGAGGAAGAATGAAAGTGAGGTTTTGAAAAGCCATGGAGCTACAGAAATGAGGAGTGAATAGTACTTACTAGCTATGTCTGCTTTTGCATGTTTTTAATCTACAAACAAAGGGCAGAGATTCCATTTGCTACTTACAGTTTGTCTCAGAAATTGATAATTTACTCTAAATTGAACATACACCCATTGGCAACATACCTTTATCTACCTCTTCAGTTATGTCTTTTACCATTTTTTGCTGCTTCTGAAATGTCAAGATTTTACAATGTTAAAATCAAACGATACTGTGGGAGTGATATATCACTTAAAATATATCTTTTATGACTCCTCAAAACTTATTAAAGTAGAAGCTTCTTAAAATGTATGCATATATGAAAGAGATCTAAGTTGAATCAGCAAATAATGGGGAGACAAAGCCTCAGGTACACATTTCTTGCCGTCAAGTGAAACCTCCAGTCCCAGGAATGAGTTACATCTAATTGAGTTGTTGATCAAAAGGGTCACATGGAAACTTCCAGACAACTCGGGCATTTACTGAAAGCTGTTGGTTGCTCTCCACAAACTGATGGTAAGGCGCTATTGCTGAAGACAATACCTACACATCTCACTGAACATGGAGAGCTGAGCTGGTGCTTCACTGGAGCCTTCATCTCTGCTGACATTCGTGGTACTCTGCACACTACCAGAGGAGAAGGCTAAACGCCAACCCAGCTACAAACCCTTTGATCTGCAGTGACAACCTGCCTGCAAGATGAGCTGACGAGACAGGGGACAAATATCCTGGGAGTATCCAACTACCATCTGATTGGACTTAAGGTCCACTCCACGAGATGGGACCTGTCCTAGTTAGGGTGATCATTGGTGGGATGAAGCACAACACCACCAAAAGCAAATTGGGGAGGAAAGGGTTTATTAGGCTCATACATTCACATTGGAGGAAATTAGGACACATGCTCAAGCAGGGAAGGAACCTACCTGGAGGCAGGAGCTGGTGCAGAGGTCATGGAAGGGCGCTGCTTACTGGCTTCCCCTGGCTTGCTCAGCCTGCTTTCTTGTAGAACCCAGGGCTACTAGCTGAGGGACAGCACTGCCTACAATGGGGAGAGCTCTTCCCCCTCAATCACTAATTAAGAAGACATCTTACAGCTGGATCTTATGGAGGCATTAAAACAACCAACCAACCAACCAACCAACCAACTGAGGTTCCCTCCTTTCAGATGACTCTAGCTTGTGTCAAGTTGACATAAAACTAGCCAAACTAGAACCCAAGCCTGGCACTGCTTGGGTGGCCAGAAACTTGAGACTAGCTAAGCCATGGGCCTAGGGGAAAACCAAATACTACTGTTCTGCTAAAGGAACTTAGCAATAAAATGATTGCTAACAGCTTTCTGTTATACCTATAGTTCAGTGCCTCACTCAGCTCAGGAGGAAACTCAGAAGTTTCCTCCTGCAGGAGATGGGAACTAGTTGTGAAACCTGCAAACAAACAATGTATAGAGAGTGAGAGATCTTAACACTCATTCCTAAATGGATGTCTTCATCAAAGCCCTCCCCTTAGTGTTCGGGGAGCTATGTAGAAGAGGAGGCAGAGAGACCGATGACACCAAGGAAATGGTGTCTTCCAAACACAACAGGACTGACACATGTATGAACTCACAGTATGCACAGGGGCTGCTCAGGGGTTTCAGCACTGAGAGGGGACATCGACACAAGCCTTTACCGCTAGGAAGCTACCTCCAACTGACAACCGCTTTCAAAGGAAAGATGAGTTTTCTCCACTGACGTCTCACTGGGCTTATAAACTACACTTATGGGCAGGCCTCATGCCCTTAATGGACGGCCAACACAAAATGAACTAAATGGTATTTTTGTAGATTTTTTTTGTCTCGTATTGCTTTGGACATTTTTTTTTTTAAATTTTCTAGTCTTTTGCTTATATGTTTTGATTTATGTTTTTATAGGATTTTTCTTTTCTTTTTCAGTGTGTGTGCATGTGTGTTTCTTGTGGTTTCTCTTTGTGGACTTTTTACTTCTGTTTTTAAATGTAAGATTTTCTTGTTTTCTAAGAGAGAAAGCTATGGATTTGGATGGGTGGAGAGGTGGGGGGGATCTGGGAGGTGAGGGAAGGGAATATACTGTAGGAAAAAAAACTATTTCTAATAAAAATAAAGGGAGAGGGAGGGGAGGCAGAGACAAGGTGATCCCTGAGGCCATCATCTAGCTAGCCTCCCTGAATCAATGGTCTCTAGGTTCAGTGGGAAACTCTGTCTCAAAAAATCAGGCAGAGAGTGATTTGACTGAGGAAGACACCCAGTGTTGATGCCTGGCTTCCACATGTCCATGTCCACATGTATATGTGAGTTGATATCTACATGGTCAAACCCAATACACACCAATGTGCATACACATACAATAGTAATAATAATAATAATAATAATAATAATAATAATAATAATAATAATAATTATGCATTCTCTGCTTTATTTTCTGACATTTCCAGAGCATATACATTATATGGTAAAGCCAGTAAGACTAGGCATAAACAAAAAGATCATGAATAAAAACTCACAGCCAGGGGCTGGAGAGATGGCTCAGTGGTTAAGAGCACTGTCTGTTCTTCCAAAGGACCTGGAAGATCATGAATAAAAACTCACAGCCAGTGGCTGGAGAGATGGCTCAGTGGTTAAGAGCACCGTCTGTTCTTCCAAAGGACCTGGGATCAATTCCCAGCACCCACATGGCAGCTCACAGCTGTCTGGGATCCCACACCCTCACCTGATACACATGCAAACAAAACATCAATGTATGCGAAATAAATGATTAATAAAAGCTCACAGCCATTCTTTAAAATATTTATGTCTATTTTGATTTTATGGGTATGGGTATTTTGCCTGCATCTATGTCTGTGCTGCACATGCCTGCAGTGCCTGGAGGTCAGAGCAGTTGCAACCTGCTATGTGGGTGCTGGGAACAGAACCCAGGTCACAAACAAACAAACAAACAAACAAATGTGTTTAAAAAATTAAACACATATTTAAATAAAAAATTAGAAACTAGACCTAACTTTAATATTACTTATGAAAAAAACCCAATGTAAATAAAATTAAATGTCTATGTATTTTAAGTTTAAATCATACAGACTGTGTGTGTTATGTCGTTTAGATTTATTGCATAACAAGTACTGTAAGTATTGGTCTATTAAACATTTTATAAGGGAATGTAACTATCCAGCTCATACTTCATACTACACAAAATAGCTCACATATCTTAGCAAAATTTTGTGCCTTATGAAACCTCGCCGAGGTTTTTCGCTTTAATGGGTTTTTCTTTAAAATGAGCTTTCCGCTGTGCACTTCGGATGGTAAGGGAAAGAATGCTAGCTCTCGGTTGACAGGGTCTGCACATTCTGCTGGGTACAGAATGGGAGGAAACAGTTTCTCATGTGAGAATTCTGTTGGCAAAGGTTTAAAAATCATGTTTTCCAGATTACAGCTATAAAATTATTAACACGAGACCACAGAAAATTCATTTGAGAAAAAGGAGGTAGCTAGGTTGAAGCCAGTTTTCGGATGAGATCTGATGTGTTCAGGGTGGTATGAAAAGAGACCCAGGCCGGGTTTCAAGCTTCTGTTTCTCTGATTTGTGATTTTCAAGAATTGGAAACGAGAATAATAATACGCAGCTCTCTGGGGGCTGAGGTTGTGACTCATGTAGGAGAGTGCTTGGTTGGCATGCGCGAAGCCTTGTGCTTGTTGGCATTCCTGCAACCACCCGGTTCGGGAGATGGAGGAAGGCAGATCAGAAGGTCATCCCCAGCTGCATAGGCCAGCCTGTCTTTAAAATATTAAAAAAACATACAACTCTTTAAGTATAGCTGATTTGTTTTCAGAAATAAAAAATTATTCTTAAAAACATCTGACTAATTATAGTTAGGCATTTAATTACAGAATGTGTGGGATGTTACAGTCTATATCGTATCACCCCATCTAAAGTATTATCACTTAAATCTTTGGATAAAAGCTGTTGTCTTGGGCTGGAGAGATGGCTCAGAGGTTAAGAGCACTGGCTGCTCTTCCAAAAGCCCTGAGTTCAATTCCCAGCAACCACATGGTGGCTCACAGCCATCTATAGGGAGATCTGGTGCCCTCTTCTGGCATGCAGGTGTACATGCAGGCAGAACATTGTATACATAATAAATAAATAAATCTTAAAAAAGAAAAAAGCTGTTGTCTTATTAATGCCTCCAACAAGGTCTAACATAGGACCCTGCACATAGTAAATACTTTGTGATGATAATAAGGAGGTGATATGTAATATCTATATATTTTTGGTGCGAAGATTTCTTTTTTTATATTTTTATATATTTTATTTATTTTTACATATTTATTGTTATTATTATTATCATTTATTACAATTTATTCAGTTTGTATCCTGGCTATGGCCCCCTCCCTCATCTCTTCCCAATCCCACCCTCCCTCTTTTCCCCCTATGCCCCTCCCACTGGTAGGTGGGGTCCTCCTCCCCTTCCATCTGACCCTAACCTATCAGGTCTCATCAGGGCTGGCTGCATTGTCTTCCTTTGTGGCCTGGCAAGGCTGCACCCCCTAGAGGGAGGTGGTTAGAGAGTGGGCCGCTGAATTTATGCCAGAGAAAGCCCCTGCTCCCCTTACTTGGGACCCCACTTGGAGACTGAGTCTATGGGCTACATCTGAGCCAGGGTTTTAGGTCCTCTCCATGCATTGTCCTTGGTTGGGGTATCATTCTCTTCAGAGCTCTCAGGGCTCAGTTTTTATGGCTCCTGGCCATCCTACTAAAAGAAATCTACAGATTTAATGCGATTCCCATCAAAATACTAACACAATTCTTTACAGACCTTAAAAGAACAATTCTCAATTTTATATGGAAAAACAAAAAACCCAGAATTGCTAAGACAATACTGTACAGTAACAGATCTTCTGGAGGTATCTCAATCCCTGATCTCAAGCTGTACTACAGAGCAACAGTAATAAAAACTGCATGGTACTGGCATAGAAATCAACTGGTGGATCAATGGAATCTAATGGAAGACCCAGGAATAAACCCACACACCTACGGATACTTGATTTTTGATAAAGAAGCCAAAACAGTACACTGGAGAAAAGACAGGACAACAAATGGTGCTGGTCTAACTGGCTGTCTACATGTAGAAGATTCCTCTTGAGTGACAGATTCTCTAACATTTTCTTTCTATGACATGAGTTATGCCATGTGTATCTTTCTGTTTCTGGGATACCTCACTCAGACTGATCTTTTCTAGTTCCCATCATTTGCCTGCAGATTTCATGATTTCCTTGTTTTTCATTGCTGTGCAGTATTCTAATGTGTAAATGTATCACAATTTCTGTATCCATTCCTTAGTTTAGGGATAACTGAGTTGTTTCCAGATTCTGGAATAAAGCTATTGTGAATAAAGCTGCTGTGAACATGGTTAAGCAAATGTCCTTCAAATGGGATAGACATTGGAAGAGGGAGAAAACAGAGAACAGGACAGTAGCCTGCCACAGAGGGCCTCTGAAAGACTCTCCCCAGCAGGGTATCAAAGCAGAGGCTGAGACTCATAGCCAAACTTTGGGCAGAGTGCAGGAAATCTTATGAAAGAAGGGGGAGATAGAAAGATGTGGAAGGGACAGGAGCTCCACAAGAAGGGCAACTGAACCAAAAAATCTGGGCCCAGGGGTCTTTTCTGAGACTGATATTCCAACCAATGACCATTTATGGAGATAAACTAGAACCCCTGCACAGATGTAGCCCATGGCAGCTCAGTGTCCAAGTGGGTGTCCTAGTAAGGGGAGCAGGGGCTGTCTCTGACATAAACTCAGTGGCTGGCTCTTTGATCACCTTCCCCTGAGAGAGGCCAGCCTTACCAGGCCACAGAGGAAAATTCATAAAATTTTTATGAATGAAATGGCATGGTTGCATTAAATTTGTCCTCTTAGTTTGCCTCAGCCTTAGTTTGCTTTCTATTGCTATAGCAAACACCATGGTCAAAAGCAACTTGGGGAGGAAAAGGTTAGTTCATCTTATACTTCCATGTCCCAGGCCATCACTGAGCAGGCCAGAGCAGGACCTCAAGGCAGGAACTGAAACAGGAGCCATGGAGGAGTGATCTTTACTGGCTTGTTCCCCATTGCTTACTCTGCTTATTGAGGATCACCTGCCCAGGGACGGCACTGCCCACAGTGGGCTGGGACCTCCCATATGAAGAATTAATCAAGAATCAAGAAAATGCCCTATGGACCTGCCTACAGGTAATCTGATGCGGGCATTTTCTCAACTAAGGTTCCTCTTCCCAGATGACCTTAGCTTGTGTCAAGTTGACCAAATACTAACCAGTATGCATCTCCAGGGGAGATAGGGATTACATGCAGCTTTACAGAAGATTCTTATTCATTCCTTTCAGGGAAGGCAAGGTAGAGGGCCCTAGGTGAACTTCATTAAAAATCCAGTTATTCGAGCAAAAAGAGCAGCACTGAAGACCTCTCTCTCTCTCTCCATCTATCTACATATACACACATAAATAGCACATACACACATAAATAATATGTATTATCTATATACAGTAAATAATATGTTATATAGATACATCCACCTAATGAATTAACCCATTCTCAAAAGGACAAATGCCATATGCTTTCATTTGTGGGTCCTAGATTTTACTTTATTTTATTTTGGTTCCTAAATTTTAGAGATATAAAGTCATGTTTGTATATGACATGAAAGTAGAGGTAAAACGGAGGGGGAAGGGAAGAGAATGGAGGAGAGGAAGGGGACCATGCTAAATGTGTGCTATATACCTATAATGAAAAACTCTAAGATGCCGGGCAGTGCTGGTGCATGGCTTTAATCCCGGCACATGGGGGGCAGAGGCAGGTGGAGCTCCATGAGTTCAAGGCCAGCCTGGTTTACAGAGTGAATTCCAGGACAGCCAGGGTTACACAGAGAAACCCTGTCTTGAAAACCAACCAACCAACCAACCAACCAACCAACCAACCAACCAACCCAACCCAACCAAAGCCAAAAAACCCCAATCCCCCCCCCAAAAAAACCCAAAACCAAACCAAATCAAATCAAACCAAACCACCACCACCACCAAACCAAAACTTAAAAAATAAATTAATTAAAAATGGTTCAAATATGATGAGTAAGAGTCATACTTTGGAACTATTGGGAGAGAACTTATGGGAACAATTAAGGACATAACAGGCTATGTTATGTTATCTGAATAGAACTCAAATAACCCATGAAATAATAGCAAAAATGGACAAATGGCCTACATAAAATTAAAAAAGCTTAAGGCTAAGAATTTAGCTCAGAAGTAGAGTGCTTTCTTATTATCAAAGAAAAAGAAAAAGACACCAAGAGAAAAAAAATAAGTCTCAAGAGAAATAGGTCATAGGAAGGAGGAAATCTTTCTCAGCTACTCCCCTAACAAAGGACTAATACTTAGCATACACAAATAACTAAAAAATATCAAAAGAGCAAATAAACCTATAAATAGAGGGAGTGAGGAGATACTTTCAAGTGAGCATGTAATTTATACGTGAAACATGTTCAACATCTTCAGCAATCTGGGAAACAGGAAATCAGAACGACACTGAGAACCCATTCAGACACACTCAGCAAAACAAGAGAAATGCTGGTGAGGAGATGAGGAACAGGAACCCTTGAAACCCCACCGGGACTGTGTAATAGATTACTTCAGTCACCATGGAAACCAACACCATGTGACTCATCTCTAAGTTAGTATACAGCAGCCCAGGCTTATGACAACACTATCCACATAGCTGAATCGTGGAGTCATAGATGACCGGTGAGCAGATGGATGGATAAAGAAAATGTGAGATATGTATGTTCCACAGAGCTAATTGCTTTTCTGGGTGCTCGAAAGATGGCTCAGCAGTCGAGATCACTTGTTACTCTTGCGGAGTTCCATTCCTAGCAACCACAGGGCACTTTTCAACAACCTGTAATTCTAAAGCCAGGGGATCTGACACCCTCTTCCGACCTCCACGGGTGTCAGGTATGCATACAGTGTACTTATATACATGTTGGGAAAAACACTCAGACACATAAAAAATTAAATTTTTTTCTTCTTAGAGATCATTGACTATTGTGATCTTTACTTAACAGGCATAAGTCAGCTAAACAGTTCGATAGCTCACCAAACAAAAAAGGATTTACCTTACAGCTGGGCTTGGTGGTGAATGTCTGTGATCCCAGCACTCAGGGAGGCAGAGGCAGGTGGTACTTCATGAGTTCAAGGCCATCATGGTCTACAAAGCAAGTTAAGGACAGCCAGGACTACACAGAGAAATCCTGTCTCGAAAAACAAAAAACAAAAAACAAAAAGTAGGGGCTAGAGAGATGGCTCAGCAGTTAAGAGAACTGACTGCTCTTCTAGATGACCTGAGTTCAATTCCCAGCACCCACATGACAGCTCACAACTGTCTGTAACTCTAAGATCTGACACTCTCATATAGTGAAACACTCAGACAAACCACCAATGCACATAAAATAAAAATAAACTATTAAAAAAAGAAAAAGAATTAACGTGACCATCAGATACCAGAGTCAGAACGGCAAAGGACAGAAGAGAGTACAACTCACTTTGAGCAAACTCTTCCGCATAGGCTCAGGAGAAGGCTGAGGGCCAGATATGGGAGGCTTTGAGTTTCTGCTTGGACTTTGTTGGGCAGGCTTTGAGAGAAGAGAGTTCTGCACATTTCTGTTCCGCTCTGTCATCAGCAGAATGTCTGTTCTGACTTTGCTTAGTTTTCTATTAGTCCTGTGAAGATTGCAAAAGGTAAATACTTATGCCCTTGTTCCCAGAATGAGCTACTCTTTAGAAAGTATTTCGTATTTCCATTTACCAGTGTCTTAATGATGTAAACCTTTTGGTGCAGACTGTTGGCACTCAGATATAAGTTTAAAATTTGTTCTAAAGAATTACATCTGTTTCCAAGCTAACAAGTAATTCAGAGTAGGAAAGAGATGAACGCCTGCCAGTGATAGGTGGGTTCTGGAAGAGCCCTACTTAGTAAAACTCCTGATCATGCCGTAGAAACATCTGATTTTGAAGGGTGAAACTATGTGAGGTGAGGCTTTACTCTTATTCCTGGCTGTAACAACCATTGCACCATAGGGAACCACAACCAAATGTCCTCTGGTGACCCATGACAAATGTACACAATTAAATGTATACCAATGTACAAAAGGTAAATAATTAAAAAAACAAAACTCAAAATGGAGCTAGAGATAGTTATATGCAGTAAAGCAGTTTGGGTTTCAAGAGCCATTGTTTGAACAGATTTTCAAATTTTTGCTTTCACTAGCTACAGTTCCCTCATGACCTGGGACAAATTAAGCATTTGATACAGAGGGATAGTTCAGAGCAGCAGCCGCTGGGACAGAAGAAGGGTCTCATGAGGATTTAAAACCAAAACGAGCAGTCCCTGGGGCAGTTAGCTTCTTTGTCATCACTGAGGTAAACCTTGCTGCTACTGTCATGCACACACCCTGAGACACTGGCCCAGGGATTACGTTGAACTACACTGTGAACTACACTACTACAATAGTGGCACTTCGTCCACTATTGGGCTAACCTTCCCCTAGGACTCAAGTCTGCCTTTCATGTACAGCAGAACACCTATGAAGTTTGTCAATAGTTATCTCTAATGGTGACACCAGAGACTCAGAATGTGCACAGAGGGGCAGGATTATTACTGTGGGTTCCACTTGGATGTGTTTCTAAAAAAGTAGTTAAATTGTTCGTGTTTCTATTTGAGAGAATGTTAACATAATTTTATGACAATATAACTGTCCTAGTTAGCTGAAAGACTAGCATATCATTAGGAGGGAACATCACACAAAACTAAAAATCAAATTGAGAAGAACTGTTCTGCAGCCACATTGTGAATGTAGGTTCATTTCCTGCATTACTTTCCAGTTATTATTTGTAGTTTGCTTACATATCCTATGTAATATTGTGAATCTGTTTCAGTGAAAATTACACACTGGAGACCAGTGGATGCGTTTCTTTGCTGACTTACTTGTCAAGCTTATGTGATAATATCTTGCTGAGTTCCTGCTCTCTGACACAGCACTGCTTATATTGCTCTACCTTCCTTGTGTTGGACTCTTCCTCGGCTTCCATTTTCTTGAGCTCTGATTCGAGACTTTCAATCCTGAGTTCCATCTGACTCAGGATTACCAAATCATTATTACTGTCTCTTAATGCCATTGTGCGTTTTTTATCTTCTAATTTTGCCTATGGAAAATTAGAAGGCTGTATTTAAAAAACAATTACACACAACATCCCCAATACTTACTGTGCTTGCTTTAGTTTTGAGTCATTGATTCCCAGAATAATTTTAAACATGTGAAACAAGGGCTGGAGAGATGGCTCAGAGGTTAAGAGCACTGGCTGCTCTTCCAGAGGTCCCGAGTTCAATTCCCAGCAACCACATGGTGCCTCACAACCATCTATAATGAGATCTGGTGCCCTCTTCTGTAGTGCAGGTGTACATATACACAGAACACACACACATAAATAAGTCTTTGAAAAATATGTGAAATAAAATGCCAGAGTTTAAAATATCAACACCAATTTCATCAAACCAAGATCATAAAATGATGTTGAACTTTGTTTTGGTTGGGCTGGAGCAGAACTCTAGGGTCATCTGCTGCTTCTGAGCTAGCTATACGTTCTGAATTATTCTCATGGTTATCCTTAGGTAATCAGAGAGATCACAGAACAGCTGACTCAAATAAAAAAAAAAACACCTCAAAATCAAAAACAAAACAAACAAACAAACAAACAAACAAACAAAAAACAAAACAAAACCAACAGAGTAACTGTTAAAACTGGTAAAAGTTCTGTGTCCTACTTTCTCTCCTTCCCACAGGGTTCTTATTTTATGCTAAATTGTGTAAAAAGTTGAAAATGAGTATTCTGAAAGCTTAATTGTATTTCAATGATGGAAACAAAAATAATTAAAGGGATAGACAGATGCCACCCGCCTTCTAGAAATCTTCAACACCTGCTGTTTTAAGAAACACAGGTCTCATCAGGACTGGCTTCATTGTCTTCCTCTGTGGACTGGTAAGGCTGCTCCCCCCTCAGGTGGAGGTGATCAAAGAGCCAGCCCATGCCCATGAGTTCATTGCAGAGACGGTCCCTATTCCTATTATTGGGGAGCCCTCTTGAACATTGAGCTGCCATGGGCTACTTCTGTGTGGGGGATCTACACTGGACTGGGGGAAGGGCATAAGAGAAGAGGAGGAAGGGAGGGTGGGATTGGGAGGGGTAAGGGAGGGGGCTACAGCTGGGATACAAAGTGATTAAACTGTAATTAATATAAAAAGTAAAAATTTAAAAAAAGAAAAAAATAAAAATATCCAAAACAGAAAAAAAAAAAAAGAAAAAGAAAAAGAAACAGGACAGGCACATGTGGTGCAGGGAAATTAACAGGCCGTAACAGACAGTTGTCCTGTAAAAGTGGCTGCCTGCCCCAGGCGACTTCTACATGATGGCCTCCTCTCCCTTCAGCCCCGCGTAGATGCTGCTGCGCTTCGCCCGACCTACCGTGTTCTCTTGCAGCTGGTGCTGCAGGTCTAGCACGTCTCTTTCCAGCGCCTTCTGATCCTTGTGCAGCTTCTCATACTGCTTTTGTGCTATTTTTATTGCTAACAACTCCTGTTCCATGTATTTGAATTGTACATTCAGAGGTAGGTATTTGGACATTATAGCTCCCCATTTTTCTTTTAGTTCATGGATCTACATGAATAAAATCATGTAGCCTGGTTGAAAAGGGTTTAGGCTGGGAGAAGTCTTAACAGAAAAAGAACAGCAAATTTTGACACAAATTCAGTTGCAATGTATTATGATCAATAGCGAAGTCTTAAAATGTAATCTGCTGAACAGAATCAACAGAATGAAAGCTATAAGAATCTCAAAAGTATATTTTTTAAAAATAATGTTTTTCTTAATTTTTTTGAGAATTCCATATGATGTATTTTGAGGATATATATATATATATGTCCCTGCCCCAGCTCCTCTTGTTCTAGGGAATCTGATACCCTCTCTTGGTTTCTAAAGTCCTCAGGTACACAAGGAGTGCACAGACATAAATCTTGACAAAATATCCATACATGTAAAATAAAATAATCTGTACTTAAATTTTCCCTCTAAAATATGAGACCTATATTTATGAAAACCTAACATGAATGTTTGAAAGAATGTTTGAAAGAAAGGAATCTCTGTTCCTTTCTAGGAGAAATAGGTTTGGAAACAAACAGGAGTTGGGAGTACAGATGAGGTATGCCAGCCAAGGGGGTGCCACTTGCTCATAGTGACCACAGTAATTCTTAAGAAAGCACTTGAAAATCATACTCTAAAAAGGGGACTTATGTCTAGAGTAAAAAAACTAGACAAACAAACAATAACACAATTTTAAAATTGGAGACGTTATAGAATGAACATGACTTCTCAATGAGAAATCACTCCAACACTTAAGAGATTATAAAGAAGAAAATAAACCTCCTCAGTCCTGAACAGAAAACCCCTCTGCTTATATAGTTTCATAGCCCCCGGTTATACTTTGAGCAATGAAACATGTTACATGGTGACAGGAATTCTAAGGTGTGGTTGTCTGGATACACTGGGAGATTTACAGTGTAAAATACTGCCACAGTCATCCTGACACAGACCAAGGCTGCTTCTCCCAGGCGGTTGTCAGGCAGCCTTGTTCTGTCTGCTAGGACGAATTATGCTCTGCCTGAGAATTCGGGGTGCTACTTCAGCTAAATTCTACTTTGTGTAACTTAATATCCCCTAAGAAGTTTGGTGGGTCCTTTATAAGAGAAATTTACTGTTCTCAGTTTTTCCTATATCAGAGTGTGATAGCCGGTTTGAGAGGGAAACTGAGCCAGGCATGGAGCACACCTGTAATCCCAGCACTCTGGGAGGCAGAGACAGGCAGATGCTGAATTCAAGGTCAGCCTGGTCTACAAAGTGAGTCCAGAACAGCCACGCCTACACAGAGAAATCCTGTCTTGAAAAATAAGAAACAAAAAACAACAATAACAACAACATAAAGAAAGAATCTAAATAGACATTTCTGTAAAGAAATACACAGACCACTGTAAGCACAGGAAAAGGGTGTGCTCATACCATCCTCTTAGTAAATTGGTAAGTGCAAATGAAGACCTTCAAAATATGTACTTCATATCACTAGGATGGAAAGCTCTTCACTTGAAATGGCGGAGTAAGAGTGTTGGCAAGGATATGGAGAGCAGTAATTCCTATTCAATGTGGTCACCTTGGGAAATATTAACACCTCAAAAGATTGAGCAGGGTTACCACAGGACTCAGCTACTGACTCATAACTATTCATAAAAGAAAACTTAAGACACATGCAAACACAAAAGGTTGTACATGTAGGTCCATGGCAGCACTGTTCACAGAAGCCTGAAGTAGAAACATTTCAAAGGCCCATCAATGTGTGTGCATATATAATATTCACACAATGGGATAATACTACTTAGGAACAGGAAGAAATTAAGTTCCAGTATGTTTTGCTATCTCAGGCTCTTAGGAGCTGCTTTTGGTAAAAGCACCCTTCACTTGGGCCCATCTTGTAAGCAAAAGAAAAACATCATCTCTGCCTTGTTTCTATCTCTGATTAACTGGCCTATTAGCCACCTGCAAAGTGTCTGTAAGAGCCATTACCTGAAATCTGTTGCCGCTTTAGATTCTAAGATCAGGACAGCCTTACAGGCTAGAGGCAGTGTCCACGATGAGGAGGGTACACCCTAGAACAGGAGTAACCAGAACAATCGTCCCTAGCAATGGCAGCAGCAATAAACCCCAGGCAAGACATGAAACACCTTCCCTAGGACCTGCTTGACTATGCATACTCCTGTCCCCTGGCCTGGTTCTTCCTCAGTGACACCAGCCTGAGGATGGGCTTCTGTATGATCATTGATCGCATATCTTCTGTCCGTTTTTCACCATTGCTCATCTCTTTGATTAGTGCGTTGGTAAGGGCCCAACAGACATGAACACTGGAGATGCAGTGCCAAAGAGAAGAACTTAGACCGCAGGCTGTGTGATCCACTCATATGACATGTACGCAGGAGGCCAAGTGAAGGACACACTTGGTGGTTCTCTAGAGCTGATTAGGAAGAGGTGGTGGGTGATGCCTGCGGGGTATGTGGCCCCTTCCCAGGATGGCGAGAGCAGCCCCCACCTGAGGTGGTGCTTGGGGAACACTGCAGCTGCATCAGATGCTTCTGACCTGCACCTGCTAAGTAACTGGACTACATAGGTATGTTAGTTATGTCCCAGTAAAACGGCTACCGAACAAAACTGACGCTATTCGTGATTTAGTGGTTTGTGATGGTGTGTACTGCTCGGCTCTACATACCAGCTTGAGTTCAACCGAATACCCTTTCGACGGGAAAATAATTTTTCATTGGTACCAAGTGTGAACATTTAAGTATTTATATTTTTGGTCTCCAAGCAAATTAAAATTGCCTCATTTTTGCGGGGTGGTGGAGGCACATGCCTTTAATTTCAGTACTTGCGAGGCAGAGGCAGGCAGATCTCTGTGAGTTCAAGGCCAACCTAATCTACAGAGCAAGTTCCAGGACAGCTAGAGCTACACAGAGAAACCCTATCTTGAAAAAAAAAAAAAAAACCACAGCCCCCCCAAATTACCTCATTTTTAAACATATTCACTGAGATGTTCATTTCAAATTCTTTAGTTTTTAAATCTCCATGGCAACTAAATTCTCCATTTTCGTGGTCATTCAATTTATTTCTCATTATTCCTATGTGTTTCTTTATTCTGCAAAAGTGTATAGAGTCAGTATGGAAAGTATTTTAAAGAGCAAATGCTTAACAATTTTTCAAATGTATTGTTTGTGTTATCATGTTTTTACATACATGGTTTCTATTGAAATTTATACATTATGACCTCTCACTTGTTTAATCTTCAAATTATTGAAATTTGAATGAAATTATAATTCATGAATGAAATCCTAATGAAATTATAATCTTAGGTAAATATTATGAAAAAAATTGTTATTTATGGCAGATAATGAATAAATACTGTAACTACATACACAGTTGTTTTAAGTATTAACATCTACATTAGTATCTCAGAATGAAGCATTAACTAATTATTATTTTTAATTAATTAATTTATTTACTATTTATACAGTCAGGGCACCAGCTCTCATTATAGATGGCTATGAGCCACCATGTAGGTTGCTGGGAATTGAACTCAGGACCTTTGGAGTATAGCCAGTACTCTTAACCTCTGAGGCAACTCTCCAGTCCACATTAACTAATTATTAACAATTAGGAAAAATTCAGCTATCAGCAATGAAGGTAAAGAATTAAAATGTGGGTATGTGTGACCTATATGCACCTTCATATGCACCTTCATTTTACGTGGGAGAGTTGTCCATCCATAGATATTCCTGTCTGTGGAGGGTCCTAACCCTCCAAACCAAACTTCTGCAGAGGACAGGAGTGACTACATTTTAGTTGTGTGTATGTATGTACATACAGTATCTATATTTATAAATGTAACACGTTTAGCAACATGTATACCTTATGTACAAATGGGTAACACCCATGGAGAAGGAACATGTTTGCATGATATCATAATTGAAAAAAAAGGCAGAAAGAAAATAAAAATAAATCAAGAAAATTTTGATAACAGTGTTTTAGTTAGGAGAATGTTTGAATGTTGAATGAAAGATGCTGCCAGAATAAGAAAAGAAAGCAAAACTGTCCTCACCCCTTCTTCCAAGGCCCAGGGAACACTGTAAAAGGGGCAGAAAGACTGTAGGAGCCAGAGGCAGTGAAAGACTTTAGTAAAACAGTGGCTTGTAGCTGCACCAGGACAGCCCCATATAATGAGCTCACGGTGATTCTGACAGCATGTGCAAGCCAGACCCAGTCTCAGCAAGGGAAATGGGAGGTGAACACAAAGTCCCACCCCAGCTGGGAGCTGTTGTCAATTAACAGCTGCTGGAGGAGAAGAGTCAGTTCTCCTGAAAAGAGTGGACCCTGCGAGTCAACCACAAGCCATCGGGAGGCCACATGTTCGAGAATATATGGGCAGTTGATATGTGAAAAAAATGATAAAAAGTTGAGTGAGCAGGAAAAGGGTGGGTGGATGTGGGAGAAGGAGAGAGGGCAGACATCAAAACAATTTAGGGACTCTCAACTAAGGGAGAAAGAAAGAAAAAAGGAAAGAAAGAAAGGAAGAAAGAACAAGATAAAGAAAGCAAGCAAAAAAAATTTGAGGTAGATAAAGAAATATATAGTTAGAATCATGGCAAACACATCTTCATTTTTTTTTTCAGGATCATTAGAGAGTATATATGTATTTTGGCATCCAAATTTTCGGATTGAGTTGTAAAATTCTGAAGTGAATTTTAATACACAATAAGTCTTGGTTGTTAAAACACTTATAGAATAGATTAATATTTAGGTGTTAATAAAGTCAGTTAAATGAGCCCGTGAGTGAAGAGATGTGAAATATTAAAATCTTACTCAGTGAGTTCCTGCTCTAATGCTTCAGTTTTATTCTTCTTTTGATCCAAAGAGCACTCTAGAGATGGTATGGTTTTGTTGAGTCTCTTTAGCTGTTCCTCTTTGTCTCTAGTCTTTGAAAAATTATAAAAAACATTTAAAAATATTGATATGAATTATTCTTTCTTAAAAATATTATTTATCAAGACTAATAGGCATTAAGACAGATTACCAACATCATTACCTTCTGAATTTAGCTAAACATTCTATAAAGCAAAGAGGATTTTCCTTGACAGCAGGAAGTAGCATCAATGAGAATACAGTAAATATTTGTTGCACATTTCCTGCAGCATTCCTATCAGGGAAAGCAAACCTGAGACCTGAGTTGAGCAGGAAGCTCACTCACCAAACCTTCGCGCAGCTTCCGAAGTTCTGTAATTTTCTCTCCTCGCTTTTGTATTGTAACTTCTGCATCAGAACATTCAGCTTGAAGCCTAAAATGTTATTTTACAAAACGATTATTTTTTTTTTTACAGATTTTTTTTACAACATTGCACAATGACAAAGAACGCGACTTCTTTAAAAAAATGTGAAAGTTAGATGGTGTCTCATTTTCTAGCCGTGTTTTGTAGAGAATGTGCAAATATTTGGTAAAATGAACAAATATCAGGCAGCTTTTTTCTTTTATGGTGTGGGGATTGAACCCAGGGTCATGGGCATCCAAAGCATGCCTTTGAGCTGAGCTGTGTCCCCAGACCTAAGGAATGTAGTGCTGAGATGTTGATCTTTGCAGAACTGTGCTTGTTAAAACCCATTTGGTTTGCAGGTTACACTGGTAATTCGCTCTGTGAACACTCGGGTTATTTTGTGTGCCCCTTTAAACTGTACTTCTGCAAGCCATCCTGCATCCGCTGAAAACGCCGCGCAACTTCCTCTCGTCGCTCTTGTGCCTCTTGCAACTAAAACAAAGAATTGAGGAGAGAATTTTACTAACATTTTCGTACAAATCTTCCCACCATGTGTTTTCGTGCTAAAAATTATTTTTGACAGGACTTGTTTTACACATATGTATGTGTGCTTCAGTGTGTGTAGAAGCACTACATGCATGCAGATGTGTGTAGAAGCCAGAAGTGGGCATAGGCCCCCCTGGAGCTGGAGTTACAGGCTGTGTGAGCTGCCCTATGTGGAGTAGAACCTGGACCCTCTGCAGGAGCAGCAAGTGCTCTTAACTGCTGAACCATCTCTCCTGCCCCCTCAGACTAGAATCTTATTAGCACTCAGCCATCATCTTTTTATCTGCATACTGAGGGGAACTTTCGTGCTAGCACTGTGGAGTTAACTGAGTCATTGCAAAAGGGATCTTATCCCCATCAAATCTAAAATACTATGATTGATCTGTTTTATGACTGAAACATGGTATTTTTGTCTTTTTTTTTTTTTTAAGATTTGTTTATTTATTAGTATACAGTGCTCTGCCCGCACACCAGAAGAGGGCACCAGATCTCGTTAGAGATCATTGTGAGCCACCATGTGGTTGCTGGGAATTGAACTCAAGACCTCTGGAAGAACAGCCAGTACTCTTAACCTCTGAGCCATCTCTCCCGCCCTAGAATTTTTGTCTTGAAATCATATTTTCTCAGATACTCAAATTGACCAAATTGGGAAATGAAAAAAAAAAAAAAAAAAAGGAAATCCTAGTATGGTGAAAATTTATTTGCCCAAAGTACTGTCTCAAGTATAATTTTTATAGTTCATATAGATGTTGTTGTAAATAAAAAAATGAGTGTTGTGATATTTAATGTTTATTATTATCTCTATAATTATCATGGCGGTATTATTTAACCCACTATCATAACTAATACAACACAGACACCTGGTATATTTATAATTGCCTTATTTACCTTGGGCTGAGCAGATATTTTACTTACACTGTCTCAGTAACCTTACCATTCACCTCCCAGCCCCCATCCAATGCCATCCCCCTTAGCCATCCTCATCTGAACTATCTTCCATCCATAATCTTATAAATACTTGCTTTTATTCTTCATCTGGGCCTTTCCACGCCATTATTGGAGTCCTTCCTCAAGGCCCACGTAATTTCTTCTCCATGCTAACCCATCGTGGTGTCCTCCCTCCTCCTCTCTTCCCATTTGTCTCCGGTGATTCTCCTGAACCCGAAGCTCAGGAACCTTAGCCACGCCTACCCCATTCTGCCCTGCCCAGGTATAGGCTGTTTAATCAACCAGTCAGATACAATGACTTAGGCAGGTTTACACATCAAGGATAGGCTTAACCACATCTTGAAGGCTAGCATCAGAACAACCCCAAACATACAGATGAATAAACAGAGCTAGGCAAGCAATGATTACAAAGCAATGTGCTGCTCTAGGGAAGATCTGGATGCTAAAGGAAAGTGTGAAAGGCAGCTTCTAAGTGAATATTCAGGCCTGGAGAGATGGCTCAGAGGTGAGATGCCTGAATGCCTGTTGCCTGAGGTCCAGCTCTAGATGCTAATAGCTACTGGTCTGGAGCAAATAAGCTTTCTGTGCCTTGGCTACCTCATCAGTAAAAGAGAGGTAATTGTAACACCTAGCACTGGACTTTGTGGATGATTAGATTAGAAACTATGCATAAAGTAGAAGAATTTGAAAGACATAGGGAGCCATAGCCAGCAGCACCTTGCTGATCTTATACCATCCTATCCTTGAGGCAGGTGCCATGTTCATAGATGCCTTCCATATCAAGGTGCACGGAATCTTTTTCAAGCCAGTGAAGGTGGCCTCAAGATGGAGGCCCTAGACCCACCTCCAGTAAGCCACGAAACGTCTGTATTTGTGCCCATACTACCTTGTTTCTGCTCAGACTACCTTCCATTGGATGTTCTCTCATGCAATGAAAACAGTACAAGACAAGCTGCAGCTCTGCGCTAGGTAGTGCGCAGATGAGGTGAGTGTCAGAGGTGTCGGATTTAACTGTGAAGAAAGGTCTTCCTCATCCACAGCGGATGTTCTGCCGGTCTGTGTCAGACAACACTGATGAGCAACGTTGGTTACTAGGAGTAACGCGCGGGCCGTGACACATCGGAAGAGCTTTAATGGGGGTCTCTCCCGTTATAAGGGAAGGGAAGCCTCACTTTTTCAATGGTGAGAAAAAGAGGAGCATTCGCCAAATAAGTCACCGGTTGATGAAGTTTTATACTTAAGTCCATAAATTATATTTAGATTAAAACTCTTCTGTCAATGTCTGAAATGATGAGTATTGGATGAAGTATTTAATTTTATCCTAACAACTTTTTTTTTTGTCTTTTTAGCACTGAGGATGGAATCCAGAGCCTCATATAAGCACCCGCTAAGCTCTACCCCCAAGCCCTACCAATTGTTTAGCAAAAACATTTTCAGTGTTTTCAAGAAAAACTGGGCATCCTTATCAAACATTATTTTGCCTTTAGGCAAATTTATACTTTGACAAGATTAAGGCACAAAACAAAGGGAAACAAAACCAAATGAGGGAAGCATGCAAAATTAACAACCTAATTGTTCTGCACATACAAGGGAAAGAGAGTCAGGAAAAACTTTATGAAGTAGTAAGTTGTGAGCTACTTCTGCACAAATAAAGACAAATGAGTAAAATCTGGAAAGTGAGGAAGCATGATTAAAAGCCAAGAGACGGTGAAATTAGCGTACTCAACTCAAAGGATAAAATCCAATAGCAAAGAAATAAAAGTATGTCCACAAAATCATCTCCACACTACAAATAAAGGCAAGAGGTGGCCCTGACATTGAGACCCTTCAGCTGATGAGCAGGTGCGTGGGACAGACACACAACAGAATACTATTCAACAATGGGAAAAAATGGTGTTTTGGTACAACACCATGTGATAGAAGCTCATTCAGAAAGATTGAATATAGAAAGTGTCTAGAAGAATGTGGAAATTATAAAGAAACAATTTAGACTGGTAGAGAAGGGCTGGGAAAGACGGAGGACAGGTAAGGGATTTGAAGTTTTTCTTTAAGGTGATGTAAATATTTTGAAATTGTGACTATACTAAGAGACCCTGAATTTGCCCTTCAAATAGTTTCCATAAATTGTACGGCATGATCATTGTGTCCCATTATATAACTCTCTACAAAGAGAGTGGCAGGAACGAGAAAACTTTCTTCTCTATTTTTGGATACAGAGTGCATATGTAATCTATTTCTATGCTTTTATACTAGGTCTAACATGGAAAAATGCCTGACTTCAAATTTACAACTGCAAAAAATTTAATAAATAAAGTATAGGTGTTTTTTTTCTGCATGTATGTCTGTGCCTGGTGCCAATGGAGACCAGAAGAAGGCATTGGAGCTCTTGGAACTGGAGTTAGAGACAACTGTAAGCCACCATGTGGGTGCTGGGAGTTGAACCTGGGTCTTGTGTAAGAACAGCCAGTGCTCTTAACCACTGAGCCACGTCTCCAGCCCTGGCTGCATTTTCTGGGGTAGCCTTTCTGTGCAAGTAAACATAAAACTCTGGTGTCAGAATGTCTTCATTGTGGAGCATGTATGTAATGTGTCTTTGTTGCATGTATGTAATGTCTTCATTGCATGCATGTAATGTGTATCTGATGCAGTGTTGTTTTCAGAAACTCTTCGTTTTGAAATAGGAATCATTTCTCTCCAAATAAATTAATGAATTGAAAACATAATGTCTGCTGATGCCATGTGGCCCCCTTCCATATTAGCAAAGCAGGAGCACCCTTCCACATGAACATATCAAAGGAGTAGACTCACTGTCACCAATCCCTCATTGGTGGCAAGGGTTTACGATCATGGGAAATCAGAACCTGGGAGAAACATTCAAGTCTTTGCTCTGAGTGAGGCGAGAGCTAGCGGCACTATTCAACTGCTGCAGACAGAGCCATGAAGAACATCAGTTTGTTCAGTGGAAAAACATGCCTCTACCATATCCACACACGATGGCTGGAAAGATGGCTCGGCGGCCAAAAGCATGTGTTACTCTTCCAAGAGGACCTAGGTTTGGTTCCCAGCACTCCCACAATAACTAACAACCATTTGTAATGGCACTGAGATTCAATACCCTCTTCTGGCCTTTGTGGGCACTAGGCACGCATATAGTATATATAGACACACGCAAGCAAAACACACATACAAATAAAAGTAAAACGAGAATCTAAAAATTCTCTACACTTTACAGCATGCGTGTAGTTTCATTTCTAAGACACTCGCACATTCACACACCAACACGTTGGTCGTCTGAAAATGACTGAGGAAAAGTGTGCTCTGATCCTCGTTTAGAATGACAGATGGGATGTGCATTGAACGTATGACAGGAGTCTACTGAGCGCATTGGAAAGACTCTAACTAGCAGTGTTTTCAAAGCAAAGACTCATGACCAAACCTTTGGCAGAGTGCAGGGAATCATAAGAAAGAAGGGGAGTTAGTCTGATGAGGAAAGGATAGGAGCTCCACAAGGACCAAACATATCTGGGCACAGGGTCTTTTCTGAGACTGACATGCAACCAAGGACCATGTATGAATGTAACCTAGAACCTCTGCTCAGATGTAGCCTGTGGTAGCTCAGTAACCAATTGGTTTCCCATAGTGAGGGGAACAAGGACTATTTCTAACAGGAACTCAATGACTGGCTCTTTGGCCTCCCCACCCCCCAAGGGAGGAGCAGTCCTGTTAGGCCACAGAGGAGAGCTTTGCAGCCAGTCCTGAAGATACCTGATAAAACAGGATCAGATGAATGGGGAGGAGGTCCCCCCTATCAGTGGACTTGGCAAGGGGCACGGTGGAGAGGAGGGAGGGAGGGAGGGACTGGGAGGGAATGAGGGATCGGGACACGGCTGGGGTACAGAGTTAATAAAATGTAACTGATAAGAAAAAAATAAAATACATATAGCCTGAATGTAAAAAAAAAAATAAAAAAAAAAAAAAAGAAAAGTGTGCTCTGGTTTTCTTTTGTGCATTTTCATCTTCACAATTTATGAGAGTTTAATCCCACATTAGTGGTGACAAAAAGCATGAAAACCTAAATAAGTGCAGAACTTTCAAGGGATTCTCACTTCACATGAATGAACCAAATTCTAACTGTATGAAACATAGGTAACCTTGTCACGGAGCAAAAATAGTTCCTTCACACAGGCACAGATACTACTGTGAAGTGAATTTCTTCATGAAATACAGACTAGGTTTCCTTATAGTTGTAAAGCTAGTGAGCCTGCATTTTGGCATAAAAATGGCCCAGTTAATATTCATGACAACGCAGTGATTAAACTCTTCATCCATTCCTCCAAGACTCATAATAACTATTTAGCTGTAAATGTCATTTCATTTTAGGGTGAGGTGACATTTCCTTAGATTTCAATTAAAAAAAATATGTGTGTTTTTATGTGTATGCTATGCATATGCAGGGGTTCCTGGGAGCAAGAAGAGAGTATCCTATGCCCTGGAGCTGGAATTACAAGTGGTTTTAAAATCATCAGTGTGAGTGTTGGTCCTTTGGAAGAACAGCATGCTCTTAATCACTGGGCCACCCATCCAGACCCTAAATAACATTTTGTTAAACAGTTATGCAATAGAGCCTTGGGCCTCATGACAATGTTTTGCTCAACAATGGACTACACACAGAGAAAACATTAGTCATGCAGATTAAGCTGCCCAGTGATATACACACGTATGTGCATGCTAATCATATATTAATCATTGATATTGTAAGTAATATCAATGAAATAAAGTCACATACACATTAAGGATAATTAATAGTGTGCAATTAATTTACCTGCTTCAAAGTCTGTTTTACTTTCACGTGCAGGACCCTCAGAGCCATGTCGCATTGCTGATTTTCCATGTCTTCAGTATAAAGCTCATCTTTTCCTGGTAATTGTGTCTTCACTCTTTCATTTTCTCTCTTCTCTTTTTGTTTTAATGCAACTCTGAGGTTAAATGCAATTATCTTAAAATTCATTTTTTTTTGAAAACAGAACATCATTTGACTTTGTTTTTCATTATTCTAAAAAGTCAACATCCTGAGCTATCCTAATAAGATTTCTGTTTTTTAAATACTTTTTCTAGATCACATTTTCAATTTTTCACTTTATTCTTTTTCCAAAGACCATATATATTGGAAGAGTAATAACTGAAGAAAAGTTTTCTTGAATAGTAAGTTTCTGTTAAGGAAACTTTGGTTAAGTTTGGCTTATTTTGGAAAAGCCACCTGGAAACTAATCAGCAATTTGACAAATTAAAAATAATTGTATACAATTTGTTATAATTGTATACATAACCCCCTAATAAAACCAGGTAATGTAAAGTTAATTTCTAAGTTACTGCTTGCAAACGAGTATGTAAGTTAACTAAATATCTAATTCTATTTTTATAAAATATGACATGCATCTCTCAAATGGTTTACAATGTAAGAGAGCCCCTTCTGAAGCTTTCAAACAATGGGCATCCATATTATTATAATTCAAGACAAGAACAGGGAGTTTATGTTACCTCTTACTAATGCTTTCAGTTCATCTTACCATAAGCAATTTAAAAATCAATACAAGATCAATTGATTCAAAAGTATCCTGTTCTTTCAACATAGAAAGCTGAATTTATTTTATCAATGAAAGAGATGTATTAAAGAAATTAATTGGTCATCTATTCCATTTAGTACAGTTTAAGAACAAAGGGGTTGGGCCTGGAGAGAGGGTTCACGGGTTAGGAACACTGGCTGCTCTTGCAGAGCATCTAGGATCTAGGTTCCCAGCACCACAGGACTGCTCACAGCTTTCTGCAGCTTCAGTTCTAGGAGATCCAAAGCCCTCTTCCGGCCTCTTGGCCTGCACATATGAAAAAAAAAAAAAAAAAAAAAAAAAAAAGGAACAAAAATGCACTTGGGGAGTGTAACTTAGCGTTATGTGCTGTCCTCACAAAGATTTTATTCTCTTTTAATCCAAATTAAAATTTGGAAGTTCAATCGCCAACTTTGAAAATAAATAAATAAATAAATAAAGAAAGAAAGAAAGAAAGAAAGAAAGAAAGAAAGAAACTAAGAAAGGAGCGCTGCATAGATTCTAAAACTTCTGTTTGCGAAGTTTGCACTTGTGCCGAGAGTATAAGCTAATATAGCGTTCATGAGGACAACTTAAACATATGGATCAAAGCCTTCTTTATATTTATATTTATTTATTTAAAGATTTATTTATTATGTATATAGTGTTCTGTCTGCACGTGCATCTTCAGGCCAGAAGGGGGCACCAGATATCATTGTAGATGGTTGTGAGCCATCCTGTGGTTTTGGGAACTGAACTCAGGACCTTTGGAAGACTAGCCAGCCAGTGCTCGTAACCTCTGAGCCATCTCTCCAGCCCCCACTTTATAGTGCAGTGCAGAGCAGAACTCACTATGTGGTCCAAGCTGGTCTTCACCTGTTATTATGCTTCTGACTCAGACTCCTCAGGGATGGGGTTATAGGGGTGAGCCGCCATAACTATCCACTTACTGATTAATGTCATTAAAAAAAGAAGCTTCTATATTTTAAGCCAGTAATTCTATATTGAAAAATCCTTAAAAATAAATTACCAAAACACAGACAATATATAAATAGTGTTCCTGTAATAAAAACAACATGTCTTTCTAGTGGGAAATCACTCCACAAGCTTAGAGATGAAGGAAGAACATGCCCAGCTCTGGCTCGTGCCCAAGGAAGAGCCAGCGTTGAACAGATTTCACTAGTGTACACACCTTAGGCTTGTGCACAAACAACAGCATCTTTCGCCTTCTTTTAGGTCCTGGTCCTATGTTACACTTTGGACAATTTAAACGGAGACATGGAATGGCAAACCTGGCCAGGTGGGCAGATGGGAGGTTCACACAGCAAAGATGTTGCCAGAATCACCTCTTAAGTGTACCAGTGTTGTTTTTTTTTGTGAATGGCATTATGTTACCCAAGGTCAGCTTTCCCACTTGGTGGAATTAAGCTTTTCCCGATAAAAGCACGAAGGATTTAAAGGCAGACCAGAACTTGATGGTTGTGACTCTACATGGCCACCTTGAGCATGTTCTTAGGGGATGGGCCTAAGGGATGGTCAGTCCTGGTGGACAAACATTCCCATCCAAGCATTGCAACTTTATCTCTAACAGGCCTGGTTAGCAGACTGCTTATCTTTGGGACACTTTGGGGGCAGTGCTCCCTTAGCTAAATTCTTCTTCTTAAATGTCTCATAAGCAAATCTATTGACACATCCTTTATGCTTATGCCATCAAGCCTCTTAACTTGAATTTCTTCTACACAATTCATTTAAAGAAATACATAAAAGTCACTGCCAAATTCTCATTGCTGAGTAAGTAACAAGCAGGCAACAATATGCACCTAACTACTCGACATACGTAGGGTTACAGTATTGCACACGTCAGAAGGCAAGGAAGTTTTGTCCTATTCTGAAGCCCACAGCAATTACACAGATCTTCCCTCTGCAACATCTGCCGTAGAAAGCAAGCCTTCCTCTAATGAATCAACCTCACACTTCAGGCTCTTTCTTCTCCAGGCCTTTGTGGTCTAACCTTGATCCCACTGGCTCTGTTTTCGTCACCTCTTCTTCAGATACGCTGTTTTCCACGTGTCCATTTTTTCTTGTAAGTAGCTCACAGTGTTCACCTTTGGTTTCCGTTTGCTGTCTGTTAGAGCAAGGGTCTGCCTCTGTGAGATAGAGAGTGGTCACTTTTTTTTTTTTTTAGCTTAAAATAATTTTTTTCACACAATCTATTCTGATTATGGTTTGCCCTCCCTCATCTTCTCCCATATCCTCCACACTCATCCAATCATACATCTTCTTTCTCTCTCTCTCTCTTTAGAAAACAAACAGGCAAATAAAAAGCAGACCAGATCCCATAGCCTGAAGAGATCATTCACACCTCCTCACAGCTCCCTCTGGGACACAATTAAGCAGTCTGTGCAGTGACCTGATAGCTTTTTTTTTTTTTTTTTGTGGGGGCGGGGAAGGCAGGCAGGAGGGATGTTTGAGATAGGGTTTCTTTGTGTAGTCCTGGGCTATCCTGGAACCCACTCTGTAGTCCAGGCTGGCCTCTAACTCAGAGATCCACTAGTCTCTACCTCCCTAGTACTGGAATTAAAGGCATATGCCACCATTCCTAGAGACTTGACAGCTCTTAATTTATGGTTCTAGGCTCTTCCATGCTCGTTGTCATAATGAACTAAATCATGTGATGTGAAACTTCCTGCCAGATATCTCCCCTTACCCCCATTTACACAAGTCTGATCCTTCCTTTGTTCTTGGGATTTTTTTTTTTTTCAGGGAAGTGTTGTGAAGGCTGTTCATGGCAGCACACTTTCTCATTCTTATTCTCACTCTTTTACTTTATGTTATTTTTCAGGCAGGACTGAATGAACTATGTAGCCCTGGCTGGCTTCATCCTCAGATCTCCCTGCCCCTGCTTTCCTACTAGGATAAAAGGGTGTGTCACCACACCTAGCTTTATTCTCATCCAAGGTTATAAAGGGAAGCTTCTCCTTTAAGGCCTCATCATGTTTAGATCTCTATGTATTGTGCTGTTTTGCCTAGTATTTTCCCTCCAACTTGGAGGCCCTTTCTCCTAACAAATGGCAGTTTCTGAAGGGAATTGTATGTGTCAGTTTCCTTCTGGTTGACTGTTTCTGCTTTACAAGTACTCTTTATATGTAACACTATCTGTATCCAAGAATTTCAGGGAGGAACCAATACAGAAATAAAATCTAAGAGTGTTTGTTTGGAAGCAGTCTAATTCATTTGTTTCTACACTGAGCAAGCGTATACTGGGTGCCTACAATATACAGGGATACTAGAAGATAAAATGAAGAAATCTGGAAACTCACATACCTGAGGAACACTTAAAGAAATGTTCAACGTCTTATCAGGGAAAGCAAATCAAGGCTACTTTGAGATTTTTGTCTTACACCAGTCAGAATGGCTAAGATCAATAATATAAGTGACAGTTCATGCTGGTGAGGATGTGAAATCAGAGAAAACACTCATCCATGGGTGGTGGGAGTGCAAACGTGTCAGCCACTATGGAAATCAGTGTGGCTGTTCCTTAGGATGGTGACAATAGATCTATTTATTCTACTGTTGGGCTTATACCCAAAGGCCTCTACATCCTACCACAGAGGCACTTGCTTAACTATGTTCATGGTCAGTTACTGGGATAAACCTTGATGTCCATCAACTGATGAATGGATAAAGAAAATGTGGTATATTTACACATTTTGAAATTTGCAGGTAAATGGATAGGCCTAGAAAAAGTTATTCTGAGCGAAGTAACGCAGACCCAGAAAGCAAGTATGGCACATATTCGCTTATCTGTGGATATTAGCTGCTAAGTCAATGATAACCAAGTTACAATCTGTAGAACCACAGAGTGTTCCTATAGAGTAAGGGACTGGTGACAGAGCTCTCTAGGAAAGGGAAATAAAACAGATAGTTATACATTAATTCAGATGTGTGGTGGGAGGACCGAAATGTGAGAGGGGAAGGAAAAGAGAGGACGAGGGAGGGAATATAGTGAGAGACACCTAAAATTAAAGGCTATTTCAGGGCTAGTATAGAAACCTAACACAGTAGAGCCTTCCTAAATATGCGCATATATGAAGGTGATCTAGCTGAAATCTCCACAAAATAGGAGAGCAGAAGCCCAAACTGGACATTTCTTGTCACCAAGGAAAGCTTCCAGTACCAGGATTTGGTTACATCTAATTGAGTTGTTGGCTAACGGGATCCAATAAGAACCTCCAAACAACCTAGGCTGTTGCCAAGACTGTAGGTTACTCTCTACAAACTGACAGCGAGGTCCCACGGCAGAAGACAACACCTACACAACTCATTGAACACGGAGAAGTCGAGCTGTTACTTGTATAAAGCCTTCACCCCTATTTTCTAGTGTCTTTCATACAAGAAAGTACCCTGCAAAGAAGAAATGTAAACACCAACCCACCCACAAACCTTTGAACTACAATGGTGCTCTGCTTGCAAGATATGCTAGTTCAATGGTGGCACAAAGCTTGTGTGAATAACCAACCAATATATGATTTGACTTAAGGTCAACACCGTGAGATGGAACTCATACTTGACATCGTGTGGATGACCAAGAACCTCAAACTAGGTAGCTCAGGTACCTAGGGTAAAATCAAACACTACTGTTCTAAACACACACACACACACACACACCCAAAAATGTATCGATAAAACAACTCCCAATGAAATTCTGTTATTCTCATAGATCAGTTCTTTGATCAGCCATCATGGGAGAAGCTTCTTCCTGCAGCAGATGGGAACAAATACAGAGACCCACAGCCAGACAACGTGGAGAGAGTGAGAGACCGTGGAACACTACTGTATTTTGTTATTATCCCTTAGAAAGCTGTTTGTTTTCTAGTGAAAGACAGAAAAGAAGTGGATTTGGTCAGGAAGGAAGGCGGGGAGGAACTAGGAGGAGCAGAAAGTGGGAAAACTGTAATCAGGATATATTATGTGAGGAAAAAAAACCCCTATTTTTAATAAAAGGGAAAAATGCTATGTGCATAACAGCAGTCCAGTAGTCCAGGCAGCTCACCGTCCTCTGAGCTCAGCTCAGCCGGCTGGGTCAGGTCGTCAGGGTCTTCCATAGCACTCATTTCTCTTCTGGCCTATGAAACAAACCATGCTAGGTCACGGTGTTCTCAGATAGCAACGTCGCACACAGCAGGGGGGGTTACACAGCTGAAAGAGAACCTGTGGAAGCAGGGCTGTGGGCGCTTCTGAGGAGGACTGAGCTTTGTGAAAGGGTACCTTTATCGATGGCTTCTGGTTCTAGTCTCTTATTCTAAGCAAATTTACATAAAAGAAGATTCTATGCCTTTCCCCCTTCATTTTTTATTTTATGAGTATGTCAATGCATACAGTTTAAAAACAATGAGTCAGATGAATAAGTAAAGAACCGGTCACTCAAGGTCTTCAGGTCTGGTCATTCCTTTGTTTGTTACGCTGGAATTTGACCCCCTTCCGCTGTTGGGTGACCAACGGACATAGCTAGCCGCTATGTGGGTGCTAGCAGACATAGCCAAGCAGCATTTACTCAGGCCCCTCTGCTGTTTTGTCTCTTTCCACCTATCAGTCTGTGGATTTCTGGCACCTGAGCTGTTAATTGAGGTGACAGTTGGATCCACTTGGAGGTGGAGGCTTTCCTTTGGTTTCATCTCCTTGAGTTCCCTTGTCCTCCCCCTAGGCTCCCCCCCTCACAGGAACGAGGTCTCTTTCATTCTGCACATCCTGTGACTGCTCTCAGGGTACTGCCTGTCGGGATGCCGGAACCTTGCTGCAGTGGGGCCTTTGCTGGCATTGTTCTGCCTGGTTTCAGCAGTGTTCATTCTTTTCCAGATCTCACTATGGTGGACTCCGAAGGTACACTCTGTACTGCCCTGCAGCCCCAACATTGTCTGCAGTGACTGAGGTCCACGGCATTTCTACTGCCTTCAACTGGATCTCCACCTGAACCCGAAAATTTGCTGCCTCCACACCCTTTTTCTCTGATGGAGCAAAGCAACTTTCTGGGTTAATTCTTTTTAGTGATCAAAATGCATCTTCTACGTGTTATTCCTCTTGGGGAAGCCATATTCTTACACAAAGCCAGTTCTTATACAAAGCATCTTGTTTTCTATGTCTTCCTTGCTAGGTCTGCAGCTGGGCATAGCCTCTATGAGACCACTCAAGCTACTGCTCTCTACAGAATGCCCATGGAGCCAGGTCTGAGGTGGGCAGTGGGTGGTTGTCAGGTCATGGCGATGGGGGTGGGGGTTGCAGAGGCTGTGGCTCCTCCCAGGGTGTGGTGATCTCTAGGCAGATGCCCACTGTAGGTGGCTACACAGGGTTCTATGGGAGTGGGGGGCTCTCTTCCTGCTACCAAAATCTGGTCTCGATTTTTACAGTACCTGGTACTTTTCCTCTGATTTTCTCTTTGCAGTCCTGAAAAAGAGGAACATACAATTCTTTCAGACAAAACACAAACAATACTGCCTTTGTATGAAGTCTCTCCAGTTATCATTAATTCCTCCCGGTCCTGAAGCTTATAGACTGTTTACAGCCATTTTCTATAAGGCATTTGAGTATAAACAGAAGGTAAGCTTGCTTTATTTCCAGAAAAAGTGACCACTTCTACTCCCTTCTTCAGGGCAAGTTTCTTTATTTTATTATTATTATTATTTTTTTTTACCTTCCTTTATCTGGATCCCTGTCATTTACTCTCCAAGGATCCTTCACTGCCAGAATATCACCAGCTACCGACTCAGACTCCTCAGATGTCAGTTCAGTCACAAAGTCTCCAGAAGACCATATTTCATGTCCTCTTTTCTTTTCTTCTTTTATGCTCAAGGCAGAACCACTAATTAAAAAAAATCACAAAATACATTCTAATAATTCTATGAACTAAGGCTATAAAAACACTACAAAACCTCAACTCTTTCCCATCATACTTCACTTATTAATTAAAAGAAAGTTATAAAGTAGCAGCTAGAATGAGGAAGTGAATACTCCCTGCTCAAAAACAGACACCACAAAGGCCCGATGCAGTGCTACATGAAAGAGCTGGCACAGGAAAACTCTGAGCACAAGCATGGGTTTCCAGAGGACAAGGACTGCAGGAGTGGAGCTCAGAAGGAAACAACATGTTCAAGATCCTAGCGGTCAGGAAAATGCTAATCAAAACCACTTTAAGATTTCATCTTACTCAAGACAGAATGGCCAAGATTGATAAAACAATGACAGCTGATGTTAGCGAGGATGTGGAGAAAGGGGACTTTTATCCCCTGCTGGTCCTAGCGCCAACCCGCACAGCGACTGTGGAAATCAGTGTGGCGTTTCCTCAAAAAAGCTGAAAATCAATCTACCTCAAGATCCGGCTTCACCCTTTTGGGACTATACCCAAAGGACTCTACCTCCTGTCACTGAGACACTTGCTCATCTATGCTTATTGCTGTTCTCTTTATGATAGCTAGAAACTGGAAACGGCGTAAAAGCCCATCAACTGATGCGTGGTTAACAAAAAATGTGGTACATTTACACAATGGAATATTATTCAACTGTTAAAAAATGAAATTACGAAATTGGCAGGCAAATGATGAGACTAGAAACAATCATCTTGAATAAAGTCTCCCAGGCCCAGTTGCTCTTATATGTGCCTTTAGACTTTAGATATGTGTGTTTTATGCAGAGTAACCACAGAGGGTAGATAGCTTGTAAAGGAACAGGAAGGAGAAAAGGGTCTTCCAAGAAGGGGGAATAGAAGGTAGTATTAATAAAGGATAAAAGGGAAACTAGAATAGGAGGGTTAAATGGGGAAGGGGATGGAAGGAGGGAATATGGGGAGGGACAACTAACAGTTAAGACATTTTGAAAAGCCATATGGAAACCTACTACTGTAGAAGGTCCCATATATACAATATCTTATATTAACGTACAGATATATTATATATGACGGGAATTTAAATAGAGCTACCATATAATAGGGAGATAATTTTCTAACTAGACATCATATGTGACCAAATAAAACCCTAGTACCAGGAATGGGTTATATATTTTTGAGTCAATGGTTAAAGGAGTCCCATAGACCCCCTCCAATCATCACAGCCTGTTGACAGTAATATTGGCTGTCCTGCACATCCTGTTATTTACTTATGTTTTCATAATTATGCAATGCTAGATATCTCAGGTATAAGGAAAGGTCGTTAATCACAAATATTTACCTAAATTAGAATTTTGTAGAACAAAAGCTAACAGCCTCTTGTGAAATAATACCAAGTTCTTACCCATCCTGCTCTTTGCTGTCTGTACTGGCAGACTGCAGGGCACGAGCCTTCCCGTTCTTCCTCGTTCGAGGGGATCCGGCATCCTCATGGTCAAGGGCAGCAGTGTGCAGGCTCTCTGATGCTTCCCATTCATTCCATTCCTGCTTTCTTTCTTCTCCAACCTATAATGAAAGTTTGAGACAAAGGAGGACTGCTACCTTTTCAACAATTAAACAACATCAGTTTTTTTTTTTTTAATTTTATCACATGACCCCTAGTTTCAAGGAGTGGAATAGGAGTGCTGAGTGGATAGTATGGGATTCTGGAGAATGAAGTGCCTCTCAAACAGCAGGAACGATGAACCAGATCCACCAGATCCATGCCAGCCTTCCTGCCTTCTCTGAATAAGAGGAATGCCAAGAATGCTTCAGAGTAATTCACTCAATGATCTTAGGGGGAGTTACCTGTTTGTGTGTAAGTAGCTGGTTTTCATTTTGTTTTTAAATTCAGCTTTTGGTTTTATTATCCTTTCCAGTTGTAGTCCAGGCAGAGGATCAGCTTTCCAAGGTCTAAATATAGCTGTGCAGTTATCCATCATATCACCCTTTCTGTTTTCTCCACAATTCCATCTTCAAAAAGATGTTACTTTTACCTTATTCCTTTAACAGCTGTCAATTAGTCTCCTCTCAGCAAAGTGTAGGTTTCTACAAGGCTGCCTACTCTTGTTTACTGCCCGTCCCCAGCACATGGCATAAACTAAGTACTTTATAATTATTTGATTAATTGCTAAGACCCTGTAAGCTGGTTCATGCAGGTAAAGGAGGACATTGCAGCCAGTCCTGATGAGACCTGATAAGCTAGGGTCAGATGGAAGGGGAGGAGGACCTACCCTATCAGTGGACTTAGAGAGGGGCATGGGAGGAGATGAGGGAGGGAGGATGGGATTGGGAAGGAAAGAGGGAGGAGGCTACAGCTGGGATACAAAGCGAATAAAATGTAATTAATGTAAAAAATGAAAAATGTAATTAAAAAAAGAGAATGAAAGGAGCTATGAGGGGAAGTGGTCAGCCTTACTGAGGGGAGGTGTGCACAGATACCACCTAGGCAAAAGCCAGTGCTTTTTAAATTCAAACCCTTGTGTTGAGGGCTGACTTTCAACAGACTGCAGCGAGGGAGCTGCTTTGCTACGCCAATGCTTTTAAAATGAGCTATGGAGGAAACAAATTTATAGGGATCAGGGTTGAAGGTTTGTTCCATTCTGCATGTGAAACATCTAAGCAGCAGGGCTGGGGACATGTGCAATATTTAACGGCCCAGTGCCTAAGAGCACTTGCAGAGGGAGCAGGCTTGGTTCCTAGCACCTACAGAGCTCACAGCTGTCTGTAACTGTCACCTCAAGGGGATTTCATGCCCTCTTCTGGCCTCTGTGGGCACTTAATGTAATGGCTTATCTTCCAAAGCTGCCAAATCTAGCATTGGGTTTCTGGCTCCTAAGGAAACCATCATTTTGAATCCCTTCTCACCTATTTTGACACAGTTTGCCAAGAGATTCTTTGATCCTGTATTTAGTCAGTCCTTGTGAAAATCATGGGCCTGGGAAAAACATGTCCAGATTCCCTTTCTGTCACGTTGTGTTGCACATTTTCCCCATATTTCATTTTTACTGCTGGGTAGATCCTAAATATAGACTCAGTGATATCAGAAGTTAAATTATACCTCAACATTACGGCCATCTGCTTGGGGCCAGGCACCAGCCAGAAAGCAGCAGAAATACCAACATCCTGCTAATGATTGAATGTAAAACTATTTTTTTAGAACTATTTTTTACATTCATGTTTAAACAGTTGGCCCAGAATTCCTCAGCACTGATCTGCCGACCCACAACAGGGTTCTTCATAGAGCTGGGATAAAACAGCATCCTCTTAGAGTACCTGCCTATTCCAGTTCTTCACCTGCATTCCTCTTGGCCCTGGAAGGAGGTCCATCACTGTATCTGCTCTTTCATTGCTGTGCTTTCACTGGAAGAATGGAAGTTAGCTGTGTCCCCTGCCTGCAGGATCAGCTGGAGTTGAATTTAGCTTTTGCTTCTGGACTGATCTTCTGGCATTTACTATCTACATCCATATGGCTGACTATGAATCTGTTTTTGCCTTTACGTGCCCAAGTAGTTCTTTCTGCCATGAGGTACAGAGCTCTATCCTGTCTCTTCTCATGAAACTTCACAATGAACAACACTTCTTCAGATGAAGTTTCCACGATGGCTATGTGGTGCAGTATATTTTATTGTCTAACTTTAAAAAAGATTTATTTTAATTATTAAAAAACTTTGTATAGATCTCTGTGTCTGTGTGTGGGTATATGCACATGAGTATAGATCATAAGAAGACCAAGGGAGCGCATTAGGTTCCAGGAGCTAGAGTTAAAGGTGGTTGTGAGCTGCTCAATGGGGATGCTGGGAACTAAACTGCGGTAGGTCCCCTGAAAGAGCAGTATGTGCTCTTAAGCACTGAGACAGGTCTCCATGCCCAATCTAACAGTTTTGATATCCAAATGTATGATGTGGTCCAACAAGTATGGAACAGATAAATGACCTGATATTGTTATTGGATTAACCAGAGAAATGTAGACAGTATAACTTTTACAAAGTTATTTGATGCTTCTTTGGGAGAGAAGAAGCATTGCCTATCATCACTTTTGAACATAGCTCTTGATCTGTATTTATCTTTCCAACCCAACACACCTCAGAACTTCAACTTTCTCCTTTGGAATTAAATGCCAAGTGTTTGGTTAGGGAGCATTCAAGTTAGGTGAAAAGCCTGCAGTCCCAGAGTCTTCAAACTTTATCAAACATTATTAAATCAGAGAGGATGGTGTCAGTCATCAACGTAACCATGAGCCATATACTCACCTGACACTGGTTATCTTCACTTCTGGCAAGAACTTTGTGCTGTTCCTCTGAAGTCAATGCTAAACCTGGTTCTGCTGAGAAAATTTTTTTAATTATTTAAAATTAAATTATTGTAATTGCTTGAACAGTCAAGGCAATATTATAAAATTGATAGAAAATAACAACTAATAATATTTTTATTATTTTCCAAATTAACACTTTTAGCCAAATGTTACTTCTGTAGGAAATGCTCCTTATCATCCAAAATTGGAAAAAAATTCTAATTATCCACAATTTTTAACAGTTTTGGAGATACACTAGGTGCTACAAACCCTCTACATGAAGAAGCAATCTCAAAAAAGTTAAAGTATGATAGGAAAGATGACAAAAAAATACAAAGTCACACCTATAAGATGATAGTATACATGAGTGACCCCAAAAACTCTACCAGGGAACTCCTACAGCTGATAAACACCTTCAGCAAAGTGGCTGGATACAAAATTAAATCAAAAAAATCAGTAGCACTCCTATATACAAAAGACAAAAGGGCTGAGAAAGAAATTAGGGAAACAACACCCTTCACAATAGCCACAAATGACATAAAGTACCTTGGTGTAACCCTAACCAAGCAAGTCAAAGACTTGTATGAAAAAAATTTCAAGTCTCTGAAGAAAGAATTAGAAGAAGATATGAGAAGATGGAAAGATCTCCCATGCTCATGGCTTGGCAGGATTAACATAGTAAAAATGGCCATCTTACCAAAAGCAATCTACAGACTTAATGCAATTCCCATCAAATTGCCAACACAATTCTTTACAGACCTGGAAAGAAAAATTCTCAACTTCGTATGGAATAACAAGCAACCGAGAATTGCTAAAGCAATCCTCTACAATAAAAGATCTTCTGGAGGTATCTCCATCCCTGATCTCAAGCTGTACTATAGAGCAACAGTTATAAAAACTGCATGGTACTGGCATAGAAACAGAATGGTGGATCAATGGAACCGAACAGAAGACCCAGAAATAAACCCACACACTTATGGACACCTGATTTTTGACAAAGGTGCCAAAACCATACAATGGAAAAAAGATAGCATCTTCAACAAATGGTGCTGGTCCAACTGGATGTCTACATGTAGAAAAATGAAAATAGATCCATACTTATCACCCTGCACCAAACTGAAGTCCAAGTGGATCAAAGACCTCAACATAAAACCAGACACATTAAATAGGCTAGGAAAAAAAAGTGGGGGATACCCTAGAACTCATTGGTACAGGAGAAAACTTCCTGAACACAACACCAACAGCACAGGCTCTAAGAGCAACAATCAATAAATGGGACCTCATGAAACTGAAAAGCTTCTGTAAAGCAAAGGACACCATCATCAAAACAAAGCAACTGCCTACAGATTGGGAAAGAATCATCACCAACCCTTTATCTGACAGAGGACTCATATCCAGTATATATAAAGAACTAAAGAAGCTGAAAAGCGGCAAACCAAGTAATCCACTTACAAAATGGGGAACAAAGCTAAACAGAGAACTCTCTGTAGAGGAATATCGAATGTCAGAGAAGCACTTAAAGAAATGCTCAACCTCATTAGCCATTAGGGAAATGCAAATCAAAACAACCCTGAGATTTCACCTTACACCCATCAGAATGGCCAAGATCAAAAACTCAAGTGACAACACATGCTGGAGAGGTTGTGGAGAAAGGGGAACCCTTCTCCACTGCTGGTGGGAATGTAAACTTGTACAACCACTCTGGAAATCAATCTGGCACTTTCTCAGACAAATAGGAATAGCGCTTCCTCAAGATCCAGCCATACCACTCCTAGGTATATATCCAAAAGAGGCTCAAGTACACAAAAAGGACATTCGCTCAACCATGTTTGTAGCAGCTTTATTTGTAATAGCCAGAAGCTGGAAACAACCCAGATGTCCCTCAACTGAAGAATGGATGCAGAAACTGTGGTACATCTATACAATGGAGTATTACTCAGCAATGAAAAATAAGGAAATCATGAAATTTGCAGGTAAATGGTGGGACCTGGAAAGGATCATCCTGAGTGAGTTGTCCCAGAAGCAAAACGACACACATGGTATATACTCACTCATATAAACATACAACATAGAATAAACCTACTAAAATCTGTACATCTAAACAAACTAAGCAAAAGAGAGGACCCCAACTAAAATGTTCAATCCCCATCCTGAAAGGCAAAGAGGATGGACATCAGAAGAAGAAGAAAACAGGAAACAACCTAGGAACCTGCTACAGAGGGCCTCTGAAAGCCAGAAGAAGAAAACAGGAAACAACCTTGGAACCTGCTACAGAGGGCCTCTGAAAGCCTCTGCCGTGCAGACTGTCAAAGCGGATGCTGAGCCTGATGGCCAACTGTCGGGCAGAGTGAATGGAATTTTATGTAAGAAGTGGGAAATAGTAAGAGCTGGAGAGGACAGGAACTCCACAAGGAGAGCAACAGAACAAGAAAAATTGAACACAGGGAACTTCCCAGAGACTCATACTCCAACCAAGGACTATTCATGGAGATAACCTAGAATCCTGACAATGCAGCCACTTCTGATGAGAACTGATAGACTAAGATCAGAAAGAAGGAGAGGAGGACCTCCCCTATTGGTGGACTTGGGGAGGGGCATGCATGCAGAAAGGGGGGGGGAGGATGGGACCGGGAGGGGAGAAGGGAGGGGCTTATGGGGGGATACAAAATGAATAAAGTGTAATTAATAAAAGTTAAATAAAAAATTAAAAAAAAAGAAAAAAAGATATGATAAACATAACAGAATCTATACACCTAAAGAAGATAAACAAGAAAGAGGACCTGGGGTAAGATGATCAATCCTCACTTAGAAAGAAAAATGGGATGTGCATTGGGCTTAGGAGAAAACAAGTAACAGGACAGGAGCCTACCACAGAGGGCCTTTACCTGAAAGACTCTACCTAGCAGTACATCAAAGCAGATACTAAGACTCATAACCAAACCTTTGGCAGAGTGCAGGTAATCATATGAAAGAAGGGGGAGTTAGAATGATGTGGAAAGGATAGGAGCTCCACAAGGACCAAATATATCTGGGCACAGGGTCTTTTCTGAGACTGACACTCCACCAAGGACCATGTATGGATATAACCTAGAACTCTGCTCGGATGTAGCCCGTAGTAGCTCAGTAACCAAGTGGGTTATCCTAGTAAGGGGAACAGGGACTATTTCTGACATGAACTCAATGGCAGGCTCTTTGACCTCTCCACCACTCAAGGGAGGAGCAGTCTTGCTAGGCCACAGAGGAGGACTTTGCAGCCAGTCCTGAAGATACCTGATAAAACAGGGTCAGATGGAAAGGGAGGAGGTCCTCCCCTATCAGTCAGACTTGGAAAGGGGCAGGGAGAAAATAAGGGAGGGAGGGAGTGGTTGGGAGGGAACGAGGGAGTGGGATACAGTTGGGATACAGAGTTAATAAAATGTAACTAATAATAAAAAATAATAATTAAAAAAACACTAAAAATACAAAATCACATTAAGTCTTACTCTCTACTTTGTGACAATAACTTATAAATAGCCTTAGCAGAATGCTCATCAAAATGATTTCCAACACTCCTGTTCCTTTCATATACTCACCAGTGAACAAACATCCTATCCTTATATCTGAAATGTTCTTTTTTTTCATATTCAGAAAATTTATTTTCTTTCAAATCTGGCATAAAATATAAAGCTATACTAAATATAGCTCTTTCTTTGGTGGTGACCTAGTGAGTGACCCAAAGCATCTTGGGCGTAAAGCGTTTATTTCACCTCAGAGCTCACAGTCCACTATTGAGGAAGTCTGGATAGAAACTCAAGGCAAGGGTCCTGTAGACAGGCGCTGACATAGAAGCCGCAGAGAATGCTGCCCAGCTCCTGGGCTTGATCAGCCTTCCTTCTTATATAGAGCCCAGAACCACTTTCCCTGGGATGGCACCACCCACCGTGGGTTGGGCTCTCCCATGTCAATCATCAATCAAGAAAACGTCCACTGCTGGTGGGAATGTAAACTTGTACAACCACTCTGGAAATCAATCTGGCACTTTCTCAGACAAATAGGAATAGCGCTTCCTCAAGATCCAGCCATACCACTCCTAGGCATATATCCAAAAGAGGCTCAAGTACACAATAAGGATATTTGCTCAACCATGTTTGTATTAGCCTTATTTGTAATAGCTAGAAGCTGGAAACAGCCCAGATGCCCCTCAACTGAAGAATGGATGCAGAAATTGTGGTACATCTACACAATGGAGTATTACTCTGCAATGAAAAATAAGGAAATCATGAAATTTGCAGGTAAATGGTAGGACCTGGAAAGGATCATCCTGAGTGAGCTGTCCCAGAAGCAGAAAGACACACATGGTATATACTCACTCATATAGACTTATAGAATAAACCTACTAAAATCTGTACATCTAAAGAAACTAATCAAGAGAGAGGACCCTGACTAAAATGCTTAATCCCCATCCTGAAAGGCAAAGAGGATGGACATCAGAAGAAGAAGAAAGCAGGAAACAACCTAGGAACCTGCCACAGAGGGCCTCTGAAAGACTGCCCTGCAGACTATCAAAGCAGATACTAAGACTTTATGGCCAATTGTTGGGCAGAGTGCATGGAATCTTATGTAAGAAGTGGGAAATAGTAGGTTATGGAGAGGACAGGAACCCCACAAGGAGAGCAACAGAACTAGAAAAATTGAACACAGGGGTCTTCCCAGAGACCCATAGTCCAACCAAGTACCAGGCATGGAGATAACCTAGAACCCCTGTGCAGATGTAATCCATGGCAGTTTAGTGTCTAAGTGGGTTACATAGTAATGGGAAGAGGGACTGTCTCTGACACAATCTGATTGGCCTGCTCTTTGATCACCTCCCCCTGAGGGGAGAGCAGTCTTACCAGGCCACAGAAGATGACAATGCAGCCACTCCTGATGTGATCTGATAGACTAAGATCAGAAGGAAGGAGAGGAGGACCTCTCCTATCAGTGGACTTGGGGAGGGGCATGCGTGAAGAAGGGGGAGGGAGCGTGGGATCAGGAGGGGAGAAGGGAGGGGCTTATGGGGGATACAAAGTGAATAAAGTGTAAAAAAAAAAAAACCAATAAAAAAAAGAAAAAAAAGAAAACGTCCTATAGACCTGCCTACAGATCAGTGTGGTGGAGGCGTTTTCTCAGTTGAGGTTCCTTCCTCCTAGAGGGCTCTAACTCTGTCTAGCCGACAAAAACTGATGAGCGCATCTGGATAAAGAGTTTCACCTTTCTTTGCAGCTGTCTTAGTTTCTTACCAATTTTTAAATGGCATCTTTAGCATTTGAACTGAGTCGGAGGAAACAGTAGGCCATCTTTGTATGACCTACTGGGTCTGGCAATTTAAAGCTGTTTAAATTCAAAGTGATGGGCAGCTTTTCTGACGTCAGACCTGAGCTGATATAGGAAGAGTGGGTAAGTCAGAGAGAAGGCAGGTGAGGGTAGAGGCCTGGGAGGCAGCAGCAAGTAGATGCTACACAGAGTGCCGCCAGCTGATCGGTAATGCCGGGAACAAGACAAACGGGTCAAGACCAGAGGTGGGAGAGACAGCTTACCAACGCTTGTGTGTAACTGCCAGCTCTCGCACATTAATGTTTTCAAGGGCGGCTTCTGATAATGCTGGAGTTAGAGACAGATCACCTGAACGTCCTCAAGGGAGGAGATTGTGGGGCGCACGAGTCAATGAAGGATGTGAAAGGGAGCGGTGGAAAATAGATGGTGTAGACAGGGGCCGAGGGGACATTTCCAACAGGCATTTAGCATATAAAATTATCAATGTACAATAGAGGATGAGTTTCTATCACGTCGATTGTCAGGAATCTGGGCCTGGAGCATAAGAGTCTGCGGATTACTCCCAGCAGGGACCAGATGAGCTGTGACGTGCTCTAAGCTGATGGCGACTGGCTGTACTTTCTTCCTTTTCTTATCACATGTTCAATGACTGAAGGAATTTAATGTTTTGTTAAAACAAGTTCCAAGATCTGGCGAGACCATCCTACAGACATGTGTGGCTGGGGGTGTAGACTGGGGGTACAGCATGTGCTTTTATACACAAGTAAGTTTAGGTTTGTAGCTTCTGCTGACTGCTCTAAAAGCCAAACCTGTGTAAAGCATATCATATATAGGGAAAATGTTACCGTTTGTTATGTGGAAGGGTTTTTATATATGGCTATGACTGCTTAAAGGCCCGGAATTAATGTGTACATGGAGTAGAACACATATTAGTGCAGTACATGGATGGAGTGGTATTCTGGTAGATTCACATTCTCTCTCAGTGTGCGTGTGTGCGTGTGCGTGTGCGTGTGCGTGTGCGTGTGTGTGTGTGTGTGTGTGTGTAGACAGTTTCTGGTATTGTTTCTGTGTCTAGACTCCAAATACCAAGCTCTAGTTCACGTCTTGCCTCAGCCTACCAAACAGCTGGAAAAATGGATGTGTGTGATTCCTCCTGGTTCTCCAAGAAACATTTCTATATTTTGGAGGAATTGAATCTCATAACTAGTCCTTGAAGATGCAAAGATTCCAAATTGAAAACATTAAGGGGCTGGAACATGGAAGTTGAAACAGCTGAGTTAAAGATTACATTTCAGTTTTTTTTTTCTTGTGCTGGTAAATTCTCCTTTCGAATAGAAATACAAAAAAAGGGACATTTGAAACATTTATATCAAATCTTTTTACCACATTTGTGAGAAAAAGGAATTAGAAACAAGAGGAGAGATTTTTCAGTCTAGTAAATTTCCCTACAAAGTAATTTTTATTTTAAAGTTTACCTGATGTCAATGCCTGCACATCCTTGTCTTCTCTCATTTGACTAGGAGCAGAATCTTCCCTCTTTCTGTGAGGCTGGTGAGATTTGAAACAAGATGGTTAATACATATTGCATATGTAATAAGATACACACACTTAATAATTCAAGATAAAAGGTAGGTGTTATTACCAGCCAACGAAGATACATCTCTGGATTTTCTAAAATGCAAAGGGAGACGTGCAATCAATTATATTTAAACACAACAAAGCCAGGCATACATCTGTGCATCCATAAGCACTGGGTCTGTGCGCACACCTTTGGGAAGGACTATTTTAGAGTTTTTAAAATCTTTTTCAAATTTGCAGAAGAACATTATATATATATATATATATATATATATATATATATATATATATATATATATATGAAAACGAAATATTGAACATAGGTTCAATAAAACATGCGGGTGACATTTCACAAGTGAGATTATGTTTCCAATAATCACAGCCAAGAGGAGGAGGTACATTAACCAATGTGGCTGTGGTGACTGGTACAAAGCAGTGATTTCTAATCAGAACAAATCATGACCCTCGGACAAGGAATAGCAAAGGTGATGGTGGAATATTATAATTCTCATCTTTAATGTATCACATATAGATCATACATCTGAGTATACCACATATTGTATTCTTCCATTTCTCCTGTAGTTTAGAGGGCAGGAAACTTTATATCACTTTAGGGTAAGATAGAATTCATTTAGGATGAAAGAAGGGCTTCTCAAGGTTTCCTTTCTTCATGTCCGCTGTCCCCACTGAGCTGCAGAAAGTTCCTTGATCCACTCCATGCAAAACAGTTTAAACCACAAGTAAGAAATAACACATAATGTTTTCAACATTGAAATAAAGTTCTCAAGTGGAAAAATAGAGTAATTTCCCCCAAGCGTATATTAATAAGCTTTTATACTTTAAAATCAGTGAAATATTGAATAAAAGCAACAAGAGTACAGAAGAATATGAATAACTTCATTAAATCTTTTGTGTATAAAATTACTGTGGTTTAAGATGCCATAAAACTCTTTAAAAGAATTTTTAAAATCAAAATTGTTCTTTGAGCTTCTCATACATGTCCATAGTGAGTTCTGTCTGTATTCACCCTACCTCTTCTCATCCCCAGGGCATAACGTCTATGGCTGGACAGTGCTATCTCTAAAGGGTTTTTATGAAACAAATATCTTAATGAAGAGAAGTTGTCCTTTAAATGACCACTCATTGCTTGAGCATTCAGATTAAATTTTATAAATAATTAACAAAAGTGAATTTTCAGCTTTGAAGACTGATATCTGAGGCAAGAAAAATGAGTGGCTGAGACAGGCCCTTGACTCCAGCACTCTCTGGGGATGCTGTCCTAAGGTACCCATCTCATATTTGTCATCTCAGCTCCCTCGTCACCACATCCAGAAGCACCCAGATAACATGGTTTCTCTGAGTCCTGTTCCGATGAAAACTACCTCTCCATGTCAAAACAGTTCTCTACGTCTGTGGGCTTGATTGTCTCCTGAAACACTTTAAAAGCATTATCATCACCATTCTTATCCACTGTGTAGTAGATTTTAGAATTATAATATTGATCTGCTGCCATGTGAAGAAAATATATGTATACATATGTATATATATATGTATAAATGCATACAAATTTTCCTAATGGGAATGGAATGGTATGTCACAGCTCATGCTACATATATTTGCTTCTCCCTCCCAGTACTCTAGTCTTTTTTTTTCTTCATTCCCACTTTTCATATTCTCAATTCCTTTCGTTCTTTTGGTTTTTAGAATATCTTGAACAGGAAATGATAATTCATTTAGGGACCTCCTCAATTGGACCCATTGCTAAAATCATATAAGAACATATTTTTTTTATATAGCTTTATTATCATCTCATTTCTTCATCTACTTTCTGTACCCTCAACAGGAAACAGCCCTTGGTTATAGTATACACTTGTGGTCATATTTGAACCTTCTGTCAGATCAAATGACATTTTTAACGACACTGTTCTTACCTACTGCTTGACCATTTACTTGTAGTAGTCCATCAACACCAATACGAATAAGTGGAAGATTGTCAGAGACACTCTGTAAGAATTAACATAAAAAATGAATCAATGAAGCACTTTCTGAACAGATAAATGCTGTTTCAGAAGGTATTTGACAAAAATAAGATAAATTTATATTGAAAACAAAGCATTTTCATAAACAATATTAATGCTCTCTGGACCAGGCGGACTTTTATTTTCAGTGGCTCCCGACTGCCATCAATGCTTTTACGTATGGAATACTAACAGATGTTCAGGCTGCCACAGGGGCTAACTTCAGTGCTCACAGCCCTACCCTGATTCCTTACCTCAAACCAGATGACATATTCCTCCCCCCCCCCCCCAAGACAGGTTTCTCTGCGTAGCCCTGGTACTAGTTGTCCTGGTACTAGCTCCATAGACCAGGTTGGCCTCGAACTCAGAGATCAGCTTGTGTCTGCCTCCTGAGTGCTGAGGTCAAAGACATGTGTCGCCATCACCCACAGGACACTTTCTTAAAAGTACACTTGCCCCATCAACCATCAATTGTACATATCCTCAGGGAATGAAGGGCCCTCATAAGCCCTACCCTGGTGACAGTGTGGGAACATCTTAAAGTGTATATGGACAAATGCAGATGTTATAGGCTCAACCACTTGACAAAATCTCATGATACAGTTAAGAGACTTAAGTGAGGCTCCTTTAGCTAACATGAGACAGATCTCACTCTAGTCCAGACTTTACCTTCTGCCTCAGCCTCAAACGTGTTAGTATTACAGGTATGTACCACTATATCCATGACAACAGCTAGATCTCATTGAGCACTTACTGTATGCAATTGATGGTTGATGGGGCAGAAAGACATTTTCTTAGGTGGTGTAGACATTGGTAAGGTGCCCACACTCCTGTAAGTAACCCTAACGAACCTCATTGGGTCACACACAAAAAAGACCTGAAAGCAGAAGAGGAGCTACGCGGAAAAGGTAAGTGTCTGGAATGGAAAGGGGATGGAGGGAGGGATGTAATATGATCCAGACACAGTATATGTATATATGTATGCATATATATGTCATAAATTTATTGTATATAATATGTTAATAAGACTACTTGTGCATCTTCTCTTCTACATATTACAAGGCAAAAAATGATTGTGATAATGTTATGGCAATTGGTAATTCCAGCTCATTCAAGGCATAACGATGAACAGAAAAGCTACATTGTTCTGTCTAGAACATTCTCCTTTAATTAGGGCAGAATTGCATACAGTTGGGAGGGGTGACTGAATACTCAGGTGAGAGTCTCATGACTTTCCCACCCCCTTATTCTAAAAAGGACTGATAATCATTAGTAATTTAAGATGTGGTGATCTGGGAGCAGGCACAGCTCCTGAAGATGGTGGCAGTTTGACTGAGAGGATAATCTTGTACAATAGGTCTAAAAGTTTTTTTCTGAATATTACTGGGACTTTGACACATGGATACATTCAACTAAGTCATCCAGCCGTGGTAGACTCAGTGTACACATTTTATTCTAACATTCAGTTCAGAGCTGAGCTGAGTTCTTAGCACTGTCAGCCTGGACATTTGTTCTACACGGCACAGCCTTCCTTCAATAAATGCCAAGAAGCAGCAGACTTGTTCCACCCTTCATTAAAGTACTATTGCTTGATGCTGTGGCGAATGCCAGGTGAAAAATGCGGGCAATAGTTCCTGGGAAGCACAACAGCAGTGAGAAAGTGGAAGTGCTCCCTTCAGTGCTAACTTCCCTTAACACTCATTAACAAACAAAGGCAATAGATGATACCTCAGAATCCCAAGATGATTCGTCGTCATCCTCTTTTCCTGTGGCTACTATGCATGTCACATCTGTAAGGAGTAGTGTGGGATACGTGAGATAGAACATGTGTTATTATGAATCTGAGACATGTATATACGTCTTGATATTCATATTTCAGTGAAATGGCAGTCACAAGAAAAATTAATTTCAGAGACTTGCGGTGGTCAGCAAAAGAAGCGCATCCTGAAAGAAAACTATTAAATGGAGATGGTGTCGTTTGGATCTACACACTTTAATCCTTTTGTATTTGCCCTAATTTGTTTCTTTATAGTTTTGAGAGTGCACTCTGCCCCAGGATGTCTTAGGGGCATATAACCTTACTTAATTTCTGAATTACAAGTTTTTGATCAGCCATCTTTAATTATCTTAAAATTGCACTGACGTTTATAAATTCTTCATAGATACTGGTTAGTTTCATTTATTGGTTTTATGTCCTCCCCCACTGTATGAAGAAGTGTGAGCTGTGCTTTTGTGAAACACTACCTTGCTCTTCTTTTCCAGTCGTTGGCTTTGTTGCACCTTCCTATTAAAAGCAAAAGGAGAAAGGACATCATGAAATTTATTTATTCACTCACTAAAATAAATGAGCTGTTAAGGCCACAGCTATTTACTGTTTTAGCAAACTGTAGTCATGTCCCAAACAGTCCTGGTTAAAACCAGTGAGTCAGAAACCAAAGGAAAACAAAACAAAAATGTATGATCTTGGAAGGGGAACTTGTTGGGAGGGGAGTTTGGTGGTGCTCGGAAAGGGAAAGGGTGAGGGGCAAGCGTGGCCAAACTGTTTTACACACATGCATGAAACTGTGAAAGAATAAATTAACAGTGATAAAAAATAAATATTAGATAGGAAATTACCTCATAATGACAAGGTTATTAGAAAAAGTATTTCCATTTGGCATATGCTAACTTATGAATGAGAAGTACAATCAGGAATCATTACAACCTGAGGCTGGTCATCTCCTCTGCCATCCAGGCTCCTTGGCTCTCCCACTGACGTCACTCCTCCCACTGGCTCTGCTGACAAATCACATGCATAATAAGAGTGTACCACCCAGAACTGTTCTATAATGAAATGAGACATTATAAAACAGAAAACAATAAACAGAGTCAATTTTTATTTTCTCTTTGCAAGTGGAAAATTTTAAAGTTAATTTTTGCTAATTATATGAAATATGTTTCAAGAAAAAAGTATTTCTAATTGTCCAAATGTTTCATGATCTTCTTTTGGAGATGCACTGGAGAGCATTCAGCAGCAAGAAGATTTTCCACAGGTAAGGTGGCAGATGAGAAGCTGCCTCTGTGCACTGGAGTAAAGGGGAGGAGTAAGGATGACTAAGAACAGACTATTTCTAGCAAAGAGCCTGATGGGAAGAGTATTGGAAATCACAGAAGGTAACAGAGTGAAGCATACTGAAGGGACATAGATGCCGTTTGTTTTGATGTGTTTGAGTCTACACATGTTGTCTTTATTTTACACTTATTTATTTGTTTGCTGCTTATTTGTTGTTTGTCTTTGTTGCTGCGAGACTGGAGCTACTGTGATCTCCAGCCTATCCTGGAGATCATTGTCATCCTACTTTATCCTTAAATTTCTAATGCTACCAGAGTGTTCCACCCTGCACCTTTGACTGTCTTAAAACTGCGTTCTAGCTTAGCAGACTTTCCTGGATTGTTGCTGGCTTTATTTTAATTGCTCTGGTGCTCTCTCTTAGCATAACACAGAATGTTATTACCGTGTATGGTTTCTGAAATACTGCCTTGTTCTCTTTCAGTTCCTGGCTCTGTCACTTCTTCCTATTAAAAACAAAAGGGAAAACACAACTGTGAAAACTTTTATTTACTCACCTACTCACCCACTAAATGAATTGCTAAGACAATAAATATTTGTGTGTTTATCACATCCTGGCACAACTGTGGCTCAAGCTGGGATTAGTAGAGTCTTCTTTCCATTCAAGCACAAGTAATGTTTAACAGCTGAGAACAGAAGCGAATCGTCCATTATCCTGACAGCTGAAATGATTATAGTGAAGAGCACATAGAAAAGTCAGCTCTGGGCTGAGAGCTGGCTCAGCCATTATAAGAGTACTGGCTGCTCTTCTAGAGGACCCAGGTTCAATTCCCAGTGCCCTCATGGCAGCTCACAAGTGTCTGCAATTTCAGTTCCAAAGGATCTGACACCCTCACAAAGACATTACACGTCAGCAAAGCACCAATGCACATGACACAGACATCTCAATCCTACCTCTGAAGCTCAAGAAATTCTGCCAATGCAGGGTGACGGGTCAAAGCAGAGAAAGCAAAAGGAGGTGTGGAAGCAATCCTTCCACAAACCAGGGGAGCAAACCGGGGGAGCACGAGCAGAGGTAGGAGGCATGGAAACAAGGCCAACAGGGGCTGTGACTGATGTGCTGGAACCAGAATATGGCTACTGGGAATGAGATGGACGTCTCAGAAAGAGAACTGAAGCCAAGCCAAAAAAGACAACTGAACACTTAGAAGACAGATCAGAAAAATTTGTGAAGTGTAGGAACTGAGGACCTTACTCAGGAAGAGCTTTAAGGATTTTAGAAAAATGATTATTTGCCACATATCGTTAGATGCTGTGGTGGTCCAAATAGAAATAGACCCCAGAGGCTCATGTATTTGAATGCTTTGTCATTAGGGAGTGGTGCTACTTGACAAAGACATAAGGAGGTGTAAAGTGTAGAAGAAGTGTATCACTCGGGGTGGGCTTTGGGGTTTTAAAAGCTCAAGCCAGGCCCAGTGTCTCTCTCTTCCTGATTCCTAAGGTCTGGATGTAGAACTCTTATCTTCTCCAACACCATGTCAGCCTGGATGCCACCGTGCTCCCCGCCATGCTGATAATGAACTAAACCTCAGAAACTGTAAGCAAGCCCCAATCAAATGCTTTCCTTTATAAGAGTTGCCATGACCATGGTGTCTCTTCACAGCAACAGAACATTAACTAAGACGCTAGAAATGAATCATAGGAACCAACCAAGAATGCTAAAAGAGAAAGGGTAAAAGTAGGCAGTCCTGGTATCTTTAAAAAAAAAAATGCCAATTATGTAACCTGCAAAAGCAGTCATGTGTTACCATACCTAATATTTATTTATTTAGAACTTTATTCTAATTTTATTAGTAATTCAATTAAAATACATTATTGTAAACAAAAAATTCTATATGTTGCAGGCAGATTCCTCAGTTCAATTACGTTTCTAAAGGCTTTTCAAGCACTCAGTATTCAGAGGAAGAGAACACTTGAGCTGAGATGTTTCATGGTTCCCTTGGCAACACAGGAAGGACTCATGACACTTCACCTGGAGAGAAGGATTATTTTTCTAGTGCCAAGAGTCAAATCTAGGGCCTTGCACATGTGGGTGAGTGACTAGATCCCTCAAATATTACTGTTGTAAAACAAGATCTTACTGTGTAGCACAGGCTGGTTTTGAACTAGTGATCCTTTTCATGAAGCCTCCTGAATGCCATGAGTATAGACAGGTGCCACTTTACTTGGCTGTACAGGAGATTTTTATGTGATCAGGCATCACCATAACACGAGGAAAGTATTAGCCCCTATTTTAAAACTTCCATGATTTCCCAGTTCTCCACTTGAGCATCACACCAAAAGCACTAGTTTCTTTTTCCCAAACATGGTGTGGGACCCGCTTTTTAAAAGTAAAGCTGTTTTTATCCTAACTGAAAAAACCTATTCAGTCATGATCCAGTTGTGTGAGCAGCATAGACCTTGTTTCACAAGAGGAGAAAGGAAAGAGTAAAAATCTGAATCAACAAGGTTCTCAACTTTAAAAAAAAAAAAAACTAGACAATTTATATGCAAAAATCAAACAACTATGAATACAGGTACTAGAGGTTTACTGAAAAGTAAGTAGCATGGGTTAAATTTTAGATTCAAACCCAGGAAGACACGATGGCAAAGACGTCATCATTGTCATCACCATGCAGTAACACTAAAGCAAATATAGTTTTGTTGCAGGAATACTGAATGTCTTCTGGTCGCAGTTATTAAAAAGGGAAATATCATCTATATGCAACTTTGAATATTCTGCTTCATGATCTTCCCTCCCTTATGATCCTGTAATAATGGGAAGGTCATTTTAGAAAACCGCCGTGGTTGGAAGGGTTTTTCATATAATATTCTTGTCATTGTGAATTTTCTGCTGATTTTGCTCAGTTCCACTCTTTAAAGCATTTATCATTCATTTGGTGTCTGCCAAAGCCAATATGTAAAGAAATGTATACACATTGTTAGATGGACTTATAGTAAATACAAGTGTTAAATCAATATATTTACACAGTATTTACATGAGTTAATAATGTGTTTGTTTAAATTAAACAGAGTCAGAAGACAACCAGAATCCACAATAAGGAATTACTTCTGTAAACTGGGCGCTAGGGTCTGGTACCACAAAGAGCCTTGTTTTCTACAGGGATCTAACCAGTGGCCATTATGTATAACCACTCTGAGCTCCAACCATGTAGTAACACAGAGTGACTTTATTTTACCTTGTTAATCACATGAGCTGGCCAGAACGACAAGAAATATTCAGAGAAAACTTTTTTTCAATTCCAATGACATCAGTTATAAGTGACTATAGATTCTAAGGCTAGTTAAAATATTGGCAATGATTGTAACAGCGGACTCCAAAAGTGAGTTCATTTGTCACATGCTGCATTATTAGATGAGAGTTATAGAGCTAATGAGAGATATAAGTAGGAACTAGTACAGACCTGAAGCTGGTCGTCTCCTCTGCCATCCAGCCTCCTTGGCTCTCCCATTGATGTCACTTCCCCAGCTGGCTCTGCTGACAGATATACATGTGTAATGAGCGCATGAACTATTCTATAAAGAGATAAGACATTGTGAGCTAAAAATAACAATATTTGGCAAATGGAGAATTTTGTTCATTGAGTTAAATATACACTTTAAAAAATATTTATTTTTCTTTTAGGTAAGCAGACTGTGTGTGTGCCTGGTGCCCATGGAAGGTGCCAGGTCCCCTGGAGCTCGGATGGTTGTGAGACTCTCTGTGGATGCTGGGAACGAAAGCTGGGCCCTCTGTAAGAGCAGAAGGGGCTCTCAGCCGATGAGCCACTTCCCCAGGCCCTACCTCATAAAACACCCTTGTATCGTCCAAGCTTATCATAATTATGTGGGGAACACTGGGTGTGAGTAAGCAGTGAACAAATTCTTCCACAAGGTTTTTGGGGAAGTTTGGATCACCCATATGTAATTTTATAAAAGATCCAAAGAAAACAAGAACCAATAGGTTCTATAGTAAAAAGCCAAATTTCAAAGAGCAACGAAAACCACAAAGGGGTAAAAGGGTAAAAACATTGAAAAGAAATGAATATCATGTTTGATTTATATAATTTACACCTATCAATTCCTTCCTTCCTTCCTTCCTTCCTTCCTTCCTTCCTTCCTTCCTTCCTTCCTTCCTTCCTTCC